TTAAGTTAACCGTTGGAAACTGACAAACATATTTTTCATGGAAGTAAAATAACATGTATAGATAAATACATTGTTCTGAATAGAAGTATCTACCAAACACACAGTCAGTGTAGTCTCACCAAGAAGCATGCATTGATGACATAAACAGTTTAAATAAATGTTGGGTCCAGGAACTTTGAAGGAGGGACATTGTTCAATCATTTGGTAAACATTGGCATAGATATCTCTACATTTAGTGATTAATCACCAGGATATAGTCAAAATTGATCGGAGTGTACCAGCAATTCCTTGTAAGAAGCTCTGTAGATAAGCCATTATATATGAGCAAAGTGTTTATTTCTTCCAATACTATCTCCTACCGGATTTAACATTCTCCTACCTGATATAACATTCTCTTACCTGATATAACATTCTCCTACCTGATATAACATTCTCCTACCTGATATAACATTCTCCTTCCCGATATAACATTCTCCTACCTGATATAACATTCTCCTTCCCGATATAACATTCTCCTACCTGATATAACATTCTCCTACCTCATATAACATTCTCCTACCAAATATAACATTCTCCTACCTGATATAACATTCTCCTTCCCGATATAACATTCTCCTACCTGATATAACATTTTACTACTTGATATAACATTCTCCTACCCGATATAACATTCTCCTACCTCATATAACATTCTCCTACCCAATATAACATTCTCCTACCTGATATAACATTCTCCTACCTCATATAAAATTCTCCTACCCAATATAACATTCTCCTACCTGATGTAACATTCTCCTACCCGATATAACATTCTCCTAACTGATATAACATTTTCCTACTTGATATAACATTCTCCTACCTGATATAACATTCCCCTACCCGATATAACATTCTCCTACCTGATATAACATTTTCCTACTTGATATAACATTCTCCTACCTGATATAACATTCTCCTACCTCATATAACATTCTCCTACCCGATATAACATTCTCCTACCTCATATAACATTCTCCTACCCAATATAACATTCTCATACCTGATATAACATTCTCCTACCTCATATAACATTCTCCTACCTGATATAACATTCTCCTACCTCATATAACATTCTCCTACCCAATATAACATTCTCCTACCTGATATAACATTCTCCTACTTGATATAACATTCTCCTACCTGATATAACATTCTCCTCCCTGATATAACATTCTCCTGCCCGATATAACATTCTCCTACCTGATATAACATTCTCCTCCCTGATATAACATTCTCCTACCTGATATAACATTCTCCTCCCTGATATACCATTCTCCTACCCGATATAACATTCTCCTACCTCATATAACATTCTCCTACCAAATATAACATTCTCCTACCTGATATAACATTCTCCTCCCTGATATAACATTCTCCTACCTGATATAACATTCCCCTACCCGATATAACATTCTCCTACCTGATATAACATTCTCCTACCTCATATAACATTCTCCTACCTGATATAACATTCTCCTACCTCATATAACATTCTCCTACCAAATATAACATTCTCCTACCTGATATAACATTCTCCTACCTGATATAACATTCACACATCGTTTTAATATTATCATATTGTACAACATGTACTTGTTTTTTATCCCAGAAAAAACCCACATTATCATTCTGCACATGCTTTTTGGTATATTATGTACTTGTATTCTTGTTTTTCATATAGTATTCGGTATTCAAATAGTGTTTTTCTGTGCTTTAAATATATATTGCTAGGGTTAGTGACGTGTATCAGCACACTTGACGCCCTTTTGGAACACTTGGTCTTATAAAACTTGTAGGTTATCAAATGTCTTTTTGTAAACATCCCATTAGTTTGATCGATTTTCCGTTAGTTTAATCGGGTTTCCCCTTAGTTTTATCGATTTTCACCTTAGTTTAATCGGGTTTCCCATAATTTTATCGGTTTTCCCCTTAGTTTTATCGATTTTCCTCTTCGTTTTATCGATTTTCACCTTAGTTTTATCGGTTTACCCATTAGTTTTAGATTTTGTCGATTTCCCCCTTAGTTTATCGATTTAGTTTTATCGGTTTTTCCCTTAGTTTTATCGGTTTTCCCCTTAGTTTTAGATTTCCCCCTTAGTTTTATCGATTTTCTCCTTAGTTTTATCAGTTTCCCCCTTAGTTTTATCGATTTTCTCCTTAGTTTTATCGGTTTTCCCTTAGATTTATCAATTTCCCCCTTAGTTTTATCGATTTTCCCTTAGTTTTATCGGTTTTCCCTTAGATTTATCAATTTTCCCCTAGTTTTATCGATTTTCCCTTAGTTTTATCGATTTTCCCTTAGTTTTATCGATTTTCAGTTGGAATTACGGTTTTATTGACACTTCTGTTGTTTTTGTATTAAGGAAGATGAAAAAAATAACCAGATTTGTTGTAATCAATTGTGAATTCCTCAACATATATTGTGAAATGTTAAACTTGTTAAGTTTAAAAAATATTCTAATAACGATTGTTTGCTCTGTTTATTATTGCTAATAAATCTAAATAATGTTAAGCAAAAGTGACAAATATTTACAGTCAAAACTTTATAAAAATCTTTATTTATACTAAGCAACGCTTTCGAATTAGACAGTTAATGTATTTTAACTTTTGTATAAAAATTGTCGATACAAGTGGGGGTTTTCCGAAAACACAAGGCGTGGAATAACATGCATATGTAAATAGTTATTATTTTGAAATGAAATTGAATAACCAACCTCAATTCTATAAAACTACGTCATTTCTTTTATTTATATATATAAGGAACTATTCACTTTTCTTTTGGTATTTACATGCAAAAAAATAGTGGAAAGATGCATTCATTGATAACAGGATATTGGTTTATGTCTTCGATCGTACTCAATATAAGCATACACCGCCACAAGGTCGAGATCCTGAGAATAGCTTTAAGGAGATATTTCCAAAACCATTGTCGTATTACTTGTACCTCCTACGTGTACATATAGTGTCGAACTGCTTCTGCTACATTTGTAATTTATAACGTTTCAATAATGTCTTCAATACGATTCATCGGTTTGGACACACGCTATCACAAACAGGGTACATTGTTTGTGTAAAAAATAAAACTTTGATATCGTTTACATAGTGTAATGTTTGTAGACGTGCTGCAAGTAAAATAATTCTATACCATTGTCACATTCCCTCCAATAGATGGTGTCTGACCTCCTACGCCGTGACTTATTAACTTTTATATATGCTGATCTATAATGCTTACATAATATTTGTTTCTGCGTGTTAATAAATCTGCTATCTTTGTACACCATAATCTAATCAATGACTCCTCAGAAATTTAGTTTTACATTTAACACTGTTCAGTACGTCTTGCAAACGTAAATGCCCTGTCTCTGTTGATAACATCGGTGTTGTCTTCATAAGTGTTTTAAGAATCAAATTACACCCCCACCCCCCTCCCCCCTTTATATTATTAATCTTTCTACAACACCTTGTAATCCTCAAGTGTATACGACTGATTGTATACCTTTGTGTTCACCACAGCGTTAGCACAAAAGCCAACATTCACTTTCTTTGTTTGTCTTTTCGCGACGTTAATATTTGAACTTTTGTCCATCTGTGTCCGCGTTGTGATATCAAAACACAAGAACACCTTCAGTTTGATTTTCTGTGTTTTCTCCAACATTCAAATTTGAATGTCTGACAATGTGCGTTAACATTGATTGCGACACCTGATCAACAGAAAACCTTTGCGACACCTGATCAACAGAACACCTTTAGATTGACCTTTCGAAATTGATGTTTGGTCTTCCGTCCATGTGTGCTGACGCTGTGTCATCAACGCAAAAGAACACGTTCAGTTTTATTCTGTTTTTATTACATCTGTGACATATCTCAGTAAATCCAAGTTCTGCATACTAAATTGATATAAATTTGATTAGGAGAAAAGATATATTTCAATTATGCCTTCACGAGCCCTAAGCTCATTTCCTTGCCTTTCGGATCGAGGCGAACCAATTTGCAAGGTAGAAAGGTTAATAATTTGAATATGTGTAACAAAGTAAAAACCCTCAACGTATTACTGACAATACATCAAAACCAAATTGATCGTAATTGTTTTATTACATCAAATATAAACACACAATGGTATGCCATCAACATATATATTATACGAACATAATGTATTACCGCGTTACATATTAGAGAATCGATTTTTTCCAATCTAATTTCTTTTTAATTGGTATGTATGGGTTAAAAAACAGCAAACTTGTACATATTATTTTGATATTCATGTTAGCGGTTCCATTGAAACCGAAACCAACCATCCACAAAAACCCTTTTTTCTGTTGTCTAGTATGTATAATACACAGGGGAAAATAACACGATAATTGGAGCCTGGAAGGACACGCCATCACTAGAACCAGATAATACACGTCATCAGTATAACATTATTGTAACTACGATACTTTTAACACATGGAGGCATGAAGGTGATGGATTGTCGATAAGCAAGACTCTAAATATCTTTTTTGAATTATGCTACTTAATCAAGGTCCTCCCCTCAACATATAAAGATTAAAGAACTAACTAAATCCAATGACCTTTCATGAAGCAAATATACAAATGATGTTAGCGAAAATTAAAAAAATTATATGAAAATAAATATTGATATTTTCGAGTTTTCTCTCTCTTCTAAATGAGTTTCTTTTCATCCATTGTTTATTTCCATTGTTCCCGTGTTATTTTCGTCACATAGGAAAGAACTCCAACGTCAAATCATTTGTAAGATGAAGGATACTTCCCAGTGAAAGGATTCTAAAAATCAATTCCCAACGTACTACTTGAAGCCTCGACAGAAAATGAATAACAACCACCTTTATAACTAATTGAGAAGAACTTTCGCCGTCATTATGCCAAACTAAAACCATGCCTATTCGGGACTGTCTATTCCATTGGGAAATCATTGACCTTGGTGAGTTCATTATCTATTTCAATCAAAATACGTGCATTGAAGGTAGGTTGTTCAACAAAACTGTTGTTTATTCGTACTAAATTGACTACATGTTCTTGTTGATTTTTTATTTTGTAGTTATAGATCTTATAGTTTTGTCTTTCTTTTTTTCTTGTTCTAATTTTTTAACATTTTGATACAATTGTGTGCAACATTAAGACTTTTAAACCTAATGAAAATTTGTTTGTATTAAAGTCTTTTAATTCCCTAAATGAAAACTTCACTAGATAGCAATGATAAAAAACAAAATCTTCAATTAGCTAAAATCCCATAAAGGTACCAGTTAAATCGGACGTGGCAATAAGAATATTGTTTTTCTTTCGATTCTGTTTTACATGATTAAACAAATAAAAAAAGCCATGGACACATACACTTTTTATGGAGTTTGGGATATTGAATATAAAATGTACATTTGGCACTGGGTATGTGAATAAGAGACATATAGCAAGTACATAACACCAAAATAATGACTTTGATATCTCGAACTGACGGACTAAATGGTAAAAGCATTGTCGCTTATGAAAATATGTGATATTCACTCTCACATTCAACCTATTAAATGCTCATCACTCTCTTGCTATTGGTCAACTTAAGGTGTGTATATATTAGGTATATTCCCACTGTCTTTCATGGAATGGCTTGTGTGGCACAAACGAAGTGTTAAAACTGAAAACGATAGTAGTTGATTGGTGATATAGTTACGCGTTTGCGTTTCTATCTATCAGACGTTATGGGTTGGGATTGTTTTGTGGTTTTCCTTGCTATTTGTATAGAATGTTAGTAATTAGTGTTTTGAGAAAAATGTAAATAACAAGCATAGCCCGAGTAGGTCTACACCACAAGCCTTTAGACAGGTAAGTTATTAATTCGGTAATTATTTTCATGATCATGAGTTTTCCCTTCCTCTGCAGTAACATGCCTTCTGTTACATTTGATTCACTATTAATAACTTTGTGCCGGTTTGGTTTGTTTGTGTTTGACGTCCTATGAAAAGCTATGGGCATTTAAGGACGTGCCATGTTTCGGTGGTAGAGGAAAGCCGGAGTTCCTGAAAAAACCTCACCGACCTACATTGTGCAGACTATCAGGACTTTCAGTAGAAACGATAAATAAGCAAGCAGTAAAATGAACACGACATTTCTGATAAAGAGATCAAAAGTAAGGTAAGGTGTTTCGGCACTACGTCATAATGTTAAATATTTCCATATTATGTTATTGATAAGATGAACATTTCAGGTAATTGGGTTGCATCAACATAATACATTTTTGCATTGTACTTTTTAATGCTGAAAATGAACTTCATCAGAATGCAATTTTTATTTGTGGAAATGTTTCCTGATGCATTGTCGTTCCAAGCAATCATATTTCATTATCATTTAAACGAAAGCGTGCTTATTTTAACTGTCATTTAAACAACAGCGTCCTTACTTAAACTGTCATTTAAGCAACGAGGTACTTATTTGTCACCTTAGAAACAGTTACTTATTACATGGTTTTTCAATGACCAGCAAGGATATTTCATTGTCTTCTAGGTTACCTTGTGCTTATTCCATTTTCATTAAACACAAGCATACCTTTTTAATGGTCATCAATAGTATGGTCATCAAAACTACAGCGTTCTAATAGTATGGACATCAAACAACAGCGTTCTAAAAGTATGGTCATCAAACAACAGCGTTCTAATAGTATGGTCATCAAAACAATTGTGTACTTATTCTATTGTCATTAAATCAACAACGCTATAATTTCATTGTTTATCAAAACTTATTTCTTTATAATCTAAGAAAAATCGTATGTAATTCATTATTCAGCAGCAGTGAACATCAGTTCAATGAAAACGTTCAGTTATCGATGATCACGTTTCCTTTACACATACATGTTACAGTTTTAGACTTCATTTTTTTTCATCATTAAAGTCTTATATATAGTCTCCATACAAATTGAGAAAGACAAGACCGTTTTGGCTCTATTCAAACAAGACTTTGCATGTCATTTTTATTCCATGAACTGAATCATGCAAACTTCAATCAAAACTATCTATTGGACCTATATAGCTTTTTTTTTTTATAGAAATGTGTGCTGTCTGCAATAACGGCAATATTCATAAAAAAAACAATCAACAATAACATGCTCTGACTGAAATTTTCATGTATTTGAAACACATTGATCTGGGCGGGGCGAACATTTTCTGGATGCCTGAAACCTTTCATTTACACATTTCTTTGTTGTCTGTGAAAATTGATTTGATAGCAATATGTGTTTATTATTTTTTTCTTTCTTTAATTTGTTATTTTATGCAAGTACATAGAAACTTCAGCAAATACCTTTGACAGTGTGTTTATTGATCTGTATACTTGCGATAACTTAACATCAGTAGATGTTTTGAGAAATTGCATTTTTAAACAAAAATATTTTATCAAATTATTAGAAATTTAATGATTGGTCAATATTCAATCTATCATAGGGCCATAATAAAATTATTATTCTGGCACCTGTCATAGCATTGTAAGTCTCTTAGGCTAAAGATCTAGTTCATTATTATTTCAATAATTTAACTCTTTGTGAGTAGAAACGTCACATCAGGAAAATTTAGCATTATTATATAAATTTGTTTAAATATATCACAATCGTTTAAAATGTATGTGAATACCCTACCTTAAAACTTAATGAAAGTGAAGATGGTTTGATTTCCAAAAATGAAATTTCAGTGTTTTGACTAAAAGCCTGGCAGTAGTGTCTCAGATCCCTGGTGACCTTTGACCTTTACCGGAGTTGCTGCGAGACATCATGATGAGTATCATGCATGCAAGCAACATGTTCCCTGCTGGAGCGACGCAATGTTTGAGCTGGGGCTAGAGTATCTGACAAGATCGGAACTCTAGTACATGGGTAGGTGTGTGTGAAGTGTGTTTTACTGTGGTATAATACTGGCATACGGGTAGTTTGCAAGGTCTAGGCTATTTGAACGTGTGAAGACTATGGAATACATGTATGGGTTTGGGTCTTGTTTGTTTAACTGCACTGAAACAGGCATACAGATAGTTGTGAGAGATCTATGATATTTTACTGCATTGAAGAAAGTGGTAAACATGTATTGGTATTGTGTGTTTGACTGCAATGAGAAACTGGCATACAGGAGGTTGTGTAAGGTCAAGGGCATTTGACTGCGTTTAAAACTGTGGCATACATGCATGGGTTTTATATCTGGTGTGTTTGACTGCAATGAGATACTTGCACACAGATAGTTGTGTCAGGTCTGGGATGTTTGACTACATTGAAGACTGTGGAAAGCATGTATGTGTTTTAGATCTGGTGTTTTTGACTAACAGGAAACTAGCACATTAGTAGGTTTTTGAGGTCAAGGGTGTTTGACTGCATTGCCAATACAGTATTAGTATATACCTTTGTATGAGAGCGTGTGTGTATGTGTGTGTGTCATCTGGATGTTTTGGAACTGTGATATTTTTGGCTGTATGGAGATTACATGTACATGTACATGTAGGTGTGAGGTCTGGAGTGCCTTACTGCATTGTTACTGTAGAATACAGGTACATGTAGGTAGGTGAGGTCTCATGTAGCAGAAGACCACAATCATACTGTCTCTTAGTCCCTAATTCACCACAAAGTGTTCGTCTCAAGACAGTTTCCAGCATTTATATACATTGTTTTACCATGGAAGCTTCAACCTAAGGCTGTGCAAAATCAAGCCTTTCAGAAATTTCCTTTCAGAGTCTCCGACACAAATGTCTTTCACGTTGCATTACGTACAGGCAGAAACAATTGTTTCCACTGAAAGTTTATTTTCACTCTCCTCTCCATTTACTTCGTCTGAATCTTGAAAAAGAATTATGATTTCTGAAAAGTAAAGAAAAAACCAATCAGGTAAAAATGATTGATAAATATTTCTTTAATCAAGCTACCTGAAATTCCCTAAAGGCTCACAGAATAAAGTATCCCATTGCATGACCTTATAATTAAGAGACAATTGATGCTGCCCCTCCCTGCAGAAATTGGTTAGATCCTTTGGAGGACCACAACCCCCTTAAACGGATCTGCTTTCCCCTTAATAGCAATCTCAGACCGCTACTAGGACTTTTTTCCTTTCTATTTCTCACCAATATATGTCAAACTTGTGACATTGAAAAGGTCAAAAAGTGGCCATAACTGTTTCCTAGCTTTTGGCACGAGGAGAGGATATTTCTCAACTAAAGAGCTTCTTAAATGCCCAAGGTAACTCTGTGGTATGAATGTTTACATCGTTTATTATGCATAACGACAGTATGTATGATTACTTCAGGGTCTATATATTTGCGCTATTATATTTCACATAAACTCTTTGCTACAATTACGCACTAATTCCACAGTCCATTTCTATACATACCACACCATTTTTTACCTGACTTTCTGTCCATTCCTACCCTATGATTTCTACATAGTTTAATGTCCATATCTACACTCATATTGTCAATGTAATGTCAACCTGCTATGTTGGCCATACTTACGTTATGATTTCTACATGATCGACTGCCCATTGGTCATGTCCCTCTCCGTCATGCACAGGCTGCCACCAACGGAACTGTACCCCGTTGTCCTGTGCGTCCTCGGGTAGAGTATATGCTGCTCTTTTGGGATTTAGATAATCTTCGGGGTCATGTCTAGCTAGAAGCTTCCAATGTGTTCCCTATTAATTAAGTAACATTCTGAATAAGATTTATTACTTTGAATTGGTATGTATAATAAAGGCTAAAATTGTTTTGAACATAAACAGGAATTGAAAACTTATTTTGCGAGCTTTCAAAAATCCCTGTTTTCTTTGTCAAGCAAAGAGTGTAAATGACCGGTGTCTCCACTCTGAACTGCTGAAAACAGCTCACCAAGCCACGGTGTGCCGTATCAGTAAAGTCAGCTGTCAAAAATCATAGACATTCGCCCAATTGCACTCTAATACCACGGCAGTCAGGGGGGGCAAGTAACATGTTTACCGATTCCGCCCCTTATTGGATGAGTAATGTTATAATATTGTTAATCTATTGGATGAGTAATGTTACAATATTGCTAATCTATTGGATGAGAAATGTTACAATATTGCTAATCTATTGGATGAATAATGTTAAAATATTGTTAATCTATTCCCAATTGCACTCTAATCCCACGGCAGTCAGGGGGGGCAAGCAACATGTTTACCGATTCCGCCCCTTATTGGATGAGTAATGTTACAATATTGTTAATCTATTGGATGAGTATTGTTACAATATTGTTAATCTATTGGATGAGTAATGTTACAATATTGTTAATATATTGGATGAGTAATGTTATAATATTGTTAATCTATTGGATGAGTAATGTTACAATATTGTTAATCTATTGGATGAGTAATGTTATAATATTGTTAATCTATTGGATGAGTAATGTTACAATATTGTTAATCTATTGGATGAGTAATGTTATAATATTGTTAATCTATTGGATGAGTAATGTTACAATATTGTTAATCTATTGGATGAGTAATGTTATAATATTGTTAATCTATTGGATGAGTAATGTTACAATATTGTTAATCTATTGGATGAGTAATGTTATAATATTGTTAATCTATTGGATGAGTAATGTTACAATATTGTTAATCTATTGGATGAGTAATGTTATAATATTGTTAATCTATTGGATGAGTAATGTTACAATATTGTTAATCTATTGGATGAGTAATGTTATAATATTGTTAATCTATTGGATGAGTAATGTTACAATATTGTTAATCTATTGGATGAGTAATGTTATAATATTGTTAATCTATTGGATGAGTAATGTTACAATATTGTTAATCTATTGGATGAGTAATGTTATAATATTGTTAATCTATTGGATGAGTAATGTTACAATATTGTTAATCTATTGGATGAGTAATGTTATAATATTGTTAATCTATTGGATGAGTAATGTTACAATATTGTTAATCTATTGGATGAGTAATGTTATAATATTGTTAATCTATTGGATGAGTAATGTTACAATATTGTTAATCTATTGGATGAGTAATGTTATAATATTGTTAATCTATTGGATGAGTAATGTTACAATATTGTTAATCTATTGGATGAGTAATGTTATAATATTGTTAATCTATTGGATGAGTAATGTTACAATATTGTTAATCTATTGGATGAGTAATGTTATAATATTGTTAATCTATTGGATGAGTAATGTTACAATATTGTTAATCTATTGGATGAGTAATGTTATAATATTGTTAATCTATTGGATGAGTAATGTTACAATATTGTTAATCTATTGGATGAGTAATGTTATAATATTGTTAATCTATTGGATGAGTAATGTTACAATATTGTTAATCTATTGGATGAGTAATGTTATAATATTGTTAATCTATTGGATGAGTAATGTTACAATATTGTTAATCTATTGGATGAGTAATGTTATAATATTGTTAATCTATTGGATGAGTAATGTTACAATATTGTTAATCTATTGGATGAGTAATGTTATAATATTGTTAATCTATTGGATGAGTAATGTTACAATATTGTTAATCTATTGGATGAGTAATGTTATAATATTGTTAATCTATTGGATGAGTAATGTTACAATATTGTTAATCTATTGGATGAGTAATGTTATAATATTGTTAATCTATTGGATGAGTAATGTTACAATATTGTTAATCTATTGGATGAGTAATGTTATAATATTGTTAATCTATTGGATGAGTAATGTTACAATATTGTTAATCTATTGGATGAGTAATGTTATAATATTGTTAATCTATTGGATGAGTAATGTTACAATATTGTTAATCTATTGGATGAGTAATGTTATAATATTGTTAATCTATTGGATGAGTAATGTTACAATATTGTTAATCTATTGGATGAGTAATGTTATAATATTGTTAATCTATTGGATGAGTAATGTTACAATATTGTTAATCTATTGGATGAGTAATGTTATAATATTGTTAATCTATTGGATGAGTAATGTTACAATATTGTTAATCTATTGGATGAGTAATGTTATAATATTGTTAATCTATTGGATGAGTAATGTTACAATATTGTTAATCTATTGGATGAGTAATGTTATAATATTGTTAATCTATTGGATGAGTAATGTTACAATATTGTTAATCTATTGGATGAGTAATGTTATAATATTGTTAATCTATTGGATGAGTAATGTTACAATATTGTTAATCTATTGGATGAGTAATGTTATAATATTGTTAATCTATTGGATGAGTAATGTTACAATATTGTTAATCTATTGGATGAGTAATGTTATAATATTGTTAATCTATTGGATGAGTAATGTTACAATATTGTTAATCTATTGGATGAGTAATGTTATAATATTGTTAATCTATTGGATGAGTAATGTTACAATATTGTTAATCTATTGGATGAGTAATGTTATAATATTGTTAATCTATTGGATGAGTAATGTTACAATATTGTTAATCTATTGGATGAGTAATGTTATAATATTGTTAATCTATTGGATGAGTAATGTTACAATATTGTTAATCTATTGGATGAGTAATGTTATAATATTGTTAATCTATTGGATGAGTAATGTTACAATATTGTTAATCTATTGGATGAGTAATGTTATAATATTGTTAATCTATTGGATGAGTAATGTTACAATATTGTTAATCTATTGGATGAGTAATGTTATAATATTGTTAATCTATTGGATGATTAATGTTATAATATTGTCAATCTATTGGATGAGTAATGTTACAATATTGTTAATCTATTTGATGAGTAATGTTACAATATTGTTAATCTATTTGATGAGTAATGTTATAATATTGCTATTCAACTTTGATTCTGTTAATCACATAACTACATGTTAAGCAAGTGACTTAGGTAGTTTTCATGTTAAAGAGGTATCATCCTATTCTATCTAAAAAAAGTAACATAGTATCAATGGAGGTTCCCTTATGAGTGAAATCACAAAACATCACCCGCACACACAGGGATACACACATAGAGAGATATTAGCCAGGTGGCATAGGACTAGTAGTTAGCCCTAGATAAGGCAGCTCCTGCAAATTCCTCAAATTTCACTGATTAATGTATTATCTAATGTAGAAAGGGCACTATATCAAATGTTTTTTTTTTTTTTTTTTTTATCTAACTCAAGTTAGTTAACTTTTAAATTGTAAAGAGACACAAGTTTTACAGAGTGTCTTTTACAATTTGAAAATTAACTTATGAAAGTTAGATAAACATGAGTATATCAACCATCATGAGTTTTGGGGACCTTTTTCTCCCAGAACTATTATATAATATCTAGCAAATCAAGTGTCATGTGGGGATCGTGATGTCACAACGGAAGATGACATTGCAAAGCATTATTATGTGATCTAATAATGAAAAGATTGATTATAGCGTTGCCTCTAGTACTGGTATCCAAATAAGGATTGAACGGCATTTTTTCAATGTTAATACCAGTATGAGTGCAAATCAGTTACAAACATATTTACAATGAAGCCTGCATACCATTGAAAAATGCTGTTCAATACATTCTAAACCTTAGAGTTATTATTTACCTAAATATAGGTATTCCCCTATATTTTCAATATCTTAGTGTGTGTGTCGTCAGTGCAATCGAGATACACAAAAAAGCCCAACACCATCAAAACGTTTGTGTCTAACCCATGTCTCATGTTATTTGAGGCGGAAGGAAAAGATTTAAAATGACACAAATCAAATTGCATTCATAACCCTATGAATGAAGGGAGGGGATAGAATTAACCTACCCTGTCTTTGGTATACTGTAGTAATACCCCTCTGTATTGGACACCTGTACCCGTCTTTACGTTACACGTGGAGGTTTGGGCTCGACATCCTATCTGTAGCACGAACATTAATTTGCTGGAAAAGAAACAATTGAACAATTGCAGCAGAAATAATGCAAATGATTTGTTTAACGAGCAGTCAAGTGTGACAAATATTTGCTTAATGCAGGTTCATTAGATTTGAAATATTATATATCACCCATAATAAAAGCCCATGGCCTAGTTCTTAGATAGCAGGTAAAGTAGGTTTTTTGAATATAACTATGTAGACCAATTTGTTTTTAAATGCAGCAGCAATAAAAAAAGAATGTGGCTTGATTAATATTTTGTTAGCACAGTAATTCAGAAGTAATCAGCAATCCTTCAGGAAATCTGTGAAGTAGATAGACAACACTATAGAGTGTATAGTGCAACATAATTACACAGAATGCAAAAATAAATACTGTACCTTGCCCTCCGGAGATCCATTTCCACAGTAACCATCTGTCTTAAGCCACAATCGTTGAAGTAGAGAGTTTTTCCATGGGCATAGGGTAGCAGAGCCCCACATCCGAACCCTATCCCCCCACCAGTGATGGTATCCCAGTAAAACGGAAACACACCTCCCTCAAAGGAATCCGACATCTTCCTTATAAGATGTCTGGTAATTTTTTCACAGGAAAATCCTGAAATGAAACAAAGATTTTATCACATAAGATGAGTATTTACTCCAAAAATGTTTGCTGCAGTTATTTAGCCTGTGTTGCTCTCCTGTTTGTCATCTCACGTCTGTGACCTTCACAGGATTTCAAGGTCAGATTTATTGAAATAGGCTAAATATCCTTATGGATCTTTGTTGAAAGATTCTATTTGTCTACACTTTATAACATTCATTGCTAGGTTTTAACGAATTTCCCTAATGTGACACTTGCAAGTGGTATACATTTGTATATCATTTATTCAGATCCCAAACTTCAAAGTACTTCACACCATCAAGCTCTATACTACTATATCACAACTCTATAATCAATTAAATAAATTTAAAAATGAATGTGGGTCATTATTTGAATGAACGTTATAATTATTTATCCCAGCATGCTACTAGCAAAATAACATTGCCATATTTTGCCCCTGTGACCTTGAACTAAGGTTAAGGTCTCTTGGATATTCAGAAAATAAAGTTGTTTAAATGTTTAAACAGATTTGGCCCATGTGACCTTGAAAGAGGGTTGGTTATGGTCATTCATTTGAACAAACTTGACAGCCCTTCATCCAAGCATGCTACTAGCAAAATGACATCTCCCTGAACCTTTTGTGGAAACTTCTGTCACATGTTACCCCTGTGACTTTGAACCAAGGTCAAGGTCATTTCTTTCTCTTTTGCAAACACTGTCAGGCTACAGCACAAGATGCAACCAGCAAAGTATCATCAAGACTTTAAGCCTATTAGTTCTTCAGAAGAAATCCTTCAGAGGAAAAGTTGATGGACCACAGACAGACAGACAGATAGATGGACACCGTGCTTAATATTGGGAACCCTCATCTCTGATGCAAGGCCCTAATTATGATGTCTGACACAGGTAGTGTACACCTACCTGTGTAAACTTGCTAACAAACACAGTGAGTACATGTTTACCTGTGTGACTATGATGTCAGCCACATGAAGAGTGATTACCTGACAGTGTGTACACTTAATATCAGACACACAAAGTGTGATACATGGTTCTTGGCTAATAAAGAATCAGAACCTGTGTTATCCTCAAGACTAAGTGCAGGTCCACTAACCTGACAAGTGTGTAACCTTCATGACAAAAACAGATGTACTTACCTGTGTAACCTTTGTGACAGACACAGGTGTACTTACCTGAGTAACCTTCGTGACAGACACAGGTGTACTTACCTAAGTAACCTTTGTGACAGACACAGGTGTTTTTACCTGTGTAACCTTCGTGACAGAAACAGGTCCACTTACCTGTGTAACCTTTGTGATAGAAACAGGTGTACTTACCTGTGTAACCTTTGTGACTGACACAGGTGTACTTACCTGTGTAACCTTCGTGACAGATACTGGTGTACTTACCTGTGTAACCTTCGTGATAGACACATGTGTACTTACCTGTGTAACCTTCGTGACAGACACAGGTCAACTTACCTGTGTAACCTTCGTGACAGACACCGGTGTACTTACCTGTGTAACTTTCGTGACAGACACAGGTGTACTTACCTGTGTAACTTTCGTGACTGACACAGGTGTACTTACCTGTGTAACCTTCGTGACAGACACAGGTGTACTTACCTGTGTAATCTTCGTAACAGACACAGGTGTACTTACCTGCGTAACCTTCGTGACAGACACAGGTGTACTTACCTGTGTAACCTTCATGACAGACACAGGTGTACTTACCTGTGTAACCTTCGTGACAGACACAGGTCCACTTACCTGTGTAACCTTCGTGACAGACACAGGTGTACTTACCTGTGTAACCTTCGTGAAAGAAACAGGTGTACCACCTGTGTAACCTTCGTGACAGACACAGGTGTACTTACCTGTGTAACCTTCGTGACAGACACAGGAGCCAAACAGACAGGCGCCCCTGCCACTACACATGCCAGGGCATTTCTCCCCGACGTATACATCATCCAGTGCCCAGGATGAGGCTGACGAATTAGTGGCCTCCTGCAGCCATCGGAATCTTGTCGCACTGGATAAGAAGTACAACATCACAGTGACACTCATTATCACTTATTGTTGTCAAAAAATATAAGACACTCACATTATTAAAATAAAGATTAAAAATACTATGCAAAATAGTTTTATAAGCAAAAAACGGCAGGAAAATCAACGTTGCAGTCAGTCAATGATTTGTATATATTTTTTTAAATACTTTACACATCAATGGCCACACAGTTTGGGCTAAAATAACATTTCAATAGATAATAAATTCTATTTCTCAAACTAATGAAATTTCTTTTGTTTTGGTTTTTACACTGCAGTATGCATGTATGTAACTTGAAAAAGGAATTTGTCTCGCGTGGAAATAGCTTAAGCCCCTTCAATTTGCCTAAAATCAAACTAATTAGATGCAATTTAGGATACAATTATGCAAATACTTGGAACCAAAATGATATATGTCTTCCTTTAAAGAATTTAAATAAATAATTGTGAAATCACTAAAAAGATACTTGTAACAAAGAAGAAGTAGAACTGTATGTCAATATCTTGTTTGGTTTTCCTAAAGGAGATGCATTTACACCAAGTGACATTTTCAATTGCCAAAACATTTTACTGTATTTCTAATTTCATGAAATTCTACACAACAATAATAAAATTATTATTTTTAACAACTTGTTGAATCTTGACACATCCTGAAACATACAGAAATCCAGAGGTGAATTAACCTGTTTTGGTTATTTCCAATCGTAAGTGTTTCATATCAAAAGCTCCAGTAGGATAAAATCTTGCAAAAATTTGGTATCAAAATGATACAAGTAAATTAAATTTAATTGTAAAGATGATCAGCATGATATTAAAGGCATTAAAATGGGTTTGAATGAGTGTCTATAAAATGTTATAAGTAAGAAGTATTAAAAAAATATTGAATATTTCCTGATCTTAAAAAACTTATAAAATTCTGAAAAAGAAAGTATAAAACTTAAACTGTCTTAGAGAAAGAAGTTTTCAAGGCTGCTTTCAATTATTGTGATCCAAACAGTTAAACTGATTTGACCAGAGTTGTTCGTTTATGAAGTAAGGTCGGCCCTAGTAATCTGATGCTGCTTTCAGACTAGCCTTGACAAAGCCTGGCAAGGCCTGCACAAACATTTTCAGGTCCGCCAGGTTTTATACCTGAAAATGTTACTTTCAAAAACAGACAAACCGGTTGTTCCGTATAAAAGAACAATCCCCTAATTGTTTTATTCATTAATGACAACTGCTTTTTATGAATATTTGAATTACTGTGAAATATAAAAAGTAAAATACCTTGAGTACACTGTATCAGGGAGGTCAATGGTGACCAATGTCCAGGCTGGGTAACCCTCAGGTGAATATGCACTGGCCGAGTGATAGTGGCTCGGACGGCAATCAGTCTGCATACCGTTCAGATCAGGTAGACACAGGGGCTGGACATACTCCCAGCGGTCAGTGGCTGGATTCTTGTTGTAAAGCAGCTTGACCGGTGAATGAGACACACAGGCATCAGACTGAACATCACAGCCAACCACAATCTGTTTGATGAAACAAAACCGGTGATATGGTAAATTAAAATGGCCAAAAGGACAACGAGTCATGCATCCTCATTCGATCAGCTGTCATTTCAGAATATTTACATAACAAAGGCATAGTTTGACTACAGACTTACCTGCCTTAGTACCATTTCTCTCCACTAGGCTGTGCCCTTTGATACTGTATTTTCCAAGCAAAGCCTAGCAGAGTGTAAGACATTCATCAGGGAAAACCAGTCTAAGTTTGTTTACTGTCCACCATGGAGCCAGCCAAATTTTACTCTAATCACAATTACTACCAGCATGTTCATAGAGGATTGTTATTATGCTATTATTAATTTATATCAACAAAAAAATCTTTATTTACTACATGTAAATATAAAATACAACTTGTAAGTAGGTAGTTTAAAATAAATGATCATTACATATTCCATGTTAGATACAATTTGTTTGCTGTTGTTAGGGCCTCCAACAGAAGTTTCACTTTTTCTCGCAATCGATGACATGTTGTTCTCTCTACTACATCGCTCTGGTATATCAATAAATAAAAATAGCTGTACGACTTTTATTTTTATATGCATCAATAACCTAACAGCATTTAAAACCGTATAGATATGATGAATGTATTTTATTTTTCTCAACATTTATGATGTCATAACAACATTCAGTTTCTGGACATATTTACCATATATATCATGTAGCATGACCTCATAAATGTTGAAAAAATAAATTTCGTTTCTTAAAAAAGTTGCTTAATGCATGATGAATAAAAGATTATCTCAAAACTGTATAATGATCCTGTCTACCTTGAACTGTAACATGTAGTTATGTTGTACGATCATTTGGCTCGAGGTGAAACTTCGGGTGCCTTTTCCTTCGTCCCAGGCCACAGCATGGCCATCAGTTGTACACACGTGCTCTCGAATTTCTCCGTGAGGAGTAAACTCCCAAGGGGCATCACTCTGTATGTCCTGATCATCTGTATCATCAAAGGAAACCTGCATCTCACTGGGGTTGATTTCGGTTCCGCCTAGAAAAAAATGTTCGGCACTGAGGTTTTTTCACTAATTTTAGTATGATAACAATTACCACACGCATATTTGTTTTGCAAAAACTACGTTTGTATGAAACAAGTTCTGCCAATTTATATTTATCACTCTTGTTGGCCTGGATGGTAGCATGAAGGAGGTTTTACTGCGGGAGAAAACCAGTATCCAAGGAAAGCCCATGCTACAAACATAAAGAGTAGCATTCACTTACCTGCTCTGAAGATATTTACACAATATTAGTATTAGCATATAGGAAAAGCAGCATTATTTCGAAAATAGAAAGAGAAAGTTGATCACTCTTCATATTGCTCTAAACAATGGCGCCAACAAATCCAAGCAATCAAACACCCTATTTAACCCTTTTATCACTGTAGACCATAATGGACTCATAAAGATCAAAACATGGTCAAGTCTACTGAAGTTATATAGGGGTGAAAGGGTTAAGAGACAAAATGCTTTTGCAAAGCAATTTACCCACTTACCTACCACTATACATGTCAATATACAAACAAACACCTATTTATACACACATACCAATATGGACCTCATCTATCTCCCATTGAGGGCCGCTCTGTGAATATCCCCCCGACAGCGGCTGCCACCAGCGGACCTTGGTACTCTCTGTTCTGGCCCCCTGTGGGAGGAGGATGTAGTCCTTCTTTACATCCTGGTAACTGGCGTAGTCGAGGACGTGGAGAGTGTCCCAGTGCATCCCTGGAGAAATAATAATCCTGTGAGGCTAGTACATGCTTATCCTTTTAGAGGTCAGGGAACACAGTTATGAAACAATTTTATTGCAATATCGTGAATATCTTTTCATGAAATCATTATATTTTCAAAAGGCCTAGATGTTTTTAAATTCAGCTGTCAGGGCCATAACATTGTCTGGCACACCCCAAAACATGCATCTCAACAGAATGACATCACAATGTAAAATGATTTTGAATGTATTGTGGAGCAATTCATGTCAACAGGTGTATTACATGTAGTGTTTGCTAGCCAACGTAACTGTCACCGATCATGTATTACAATGCCAGGGACTGAGACACTCTTTTAACACAATGAACTGAAGACCCGATGTCCTATAGGTGTAGAGGAATGTTTGTTTTCTTCTAGGTTTCAGGAGAATACCTTGTGATATACGGAAGCACTCTCCATGTAAAACATACATAAGGACAGAAGCAATTCACTCTTAGGTTAAGGTTTCCTTCATCGAAATCTGGATTCAGAGAGTTACTTTTCTTCTTTTATTAATATACATTTTGAAATTGTCAGTTTAGTGAAATTAAGAATAATAGCAATGATATAACACAATAGAAAAGATTTTTACTCCCATAGATTTTGAGATAGGCCAAAAAAAGAACAAGAGGCCCATGGGCCTTAACGGTCACCCGAGTCCTACAGTATTTATTTTTGTTGTTGAAATATGTACCAATTTAAGTAAAAAATTGTTAAGTATAACGTTAACTTAAGTTTGTCAGGACAATGATCTTTCCTAGACCGTTTTTCAGTTAGATCAGCCTATTAGAACTTGTTTTTAAGTTTGAAATAGGTATTTTTAAAATAGCGACCCGAAAAATAACAAAACATTGTCAGGACCATGAGTCGATCATTCCTACTAAGTTTCAGCTTAATCAGCCTAGCAGAACTTGACTTTAAGTTTGAAATAGTTTTTCAAAATGGCGGCCGTGGCGGCCATATTGGATTTCTGATTGACCCGAAAAATAACAAAACTTTGTCAGGACCATGAGTCGATCATTCCTACCAAGTTTCAGTTCAAAGCTAAAGCTCAGGTGACCTAAAAATGTATGTTTTCGATATCCCTCCTCCTTTCCCTAGTGTTTTTACCTCTGACCCTAGCAATTTCATCCCTCTCAAATTAAACTGATGTGTAAACATATGAGGCTACTACATGTATATCCGCTCTACTTTAAAGGCAGGTTCCTTAACCAAATTTGAATCCCATATTACTTTATAAAAGACCTACAAATATGCTTGGAGACTTTTGTTATTTCTTTAATGAGCCCCCACCCCCTAAGAAAATAAATCTGATCAAATTAAAAGCAGAGATTTCTTTTACCTGAAACAAGGTTACCTTTTTTCGGCCTTAATGAAATCCATTTTACAAACAGAAAAAATACTCTTCCTGATTTTTTATACAGAGAACTTGTTGCATGGATCCCACTGTATATAGAATGTTCATCCTATTCTGATGACACTTGTTATATAGTTCAATCGAAGTTTGATTGAAAAAACAACAATTTTAAGGTAGGTTGTCTGATATAGGACCCTTGTGTTACAAATCCCTATGCTTCAGTGCTAATTATAATTGAAAAGTCACTAATGTTTTAATTTACATTATCATTTGACACCTTACCTGTAATGATTGTTCAAAATGTATTGAAACATTAAACGATAAGAGAAAAAAAGATTTGGTGATTACAAGCTCACCGTTATCTGTGGAGTATTGTAGTATAACACTATGTCCTGAAGCTGTCGGAGGGAAACATCCTGGTTCTGAGCCAGATCCACCAATCACAGCATAGTACTGTATAAACCTGCAGAACCAAGTACAATACCATTACAATCTGGGTTCCGATATTACATCTACCTGATGGGAATACATGTGTTGTCTCCCTTCTTTCGTAGGGAATCTGACAACACTTCACTTTCAAAATATAAAACTCTGAAGAATCAGAATCTCTTTACAGCTGGTTTTCGTGTTAGAAATTGATAACTTGATAAACATGCATTATGAACACCAACAAGTGAATTTCTTCTGTTTATACAATATTTTATTAACGGTAAATACATGAACAAGTCTTAATTTATGAACGCATGTATTGTTCAAAACAATAGCGACTTAGGTTTTTCTTCTTTACCAAAACTCTATCTCCCTACCAGTGGTAGGACATACCAAAGTCCTGAACCTAGAGTCCTTTAAAATGGTAGTTGCTATTCCCTACTTAGCGTTCAACATTTAGGGTAATGGCAACACTTGGTTCACATGTTGTCAGTATAATGTGACCGGGTGGAATGCTGTGCTGGTTGCCATCGGCATGGTATATCAGTGAGATAGCACTATTAGTTAGCATCAGATCTGCACTATTACACGGAGGCAAATACACCTCCATACCCTGTTTCAAACACACATTCTCACGTGCAGGCATACACAACAAACATGGAGGCATATTCTCAAATACCTGTTGATAAAGGAGGTTAACTAAACCCTGTAAAACTTATAATGCAACCCTAGCTACCAGTGGGAAAAAAAACTACCTGCTCTGTGTTCTGAGGTCATTTCATGTGTGTATACATGTATTATGAAATACGGATGAAATATATTTTGATCAAAATTTTATTATTATTAATTATCACTATAGCACTGGAAGTAATTACATACACTTATTTCAATTACCTGGCATTACGAAGGTCAAGGTCACCTGTGACAAGTTGTCGGTTACCAGGACCGGACATGACCATGGCTGAGTTTTCCACGAGGCTGTGACAACCTGATCCCAAGTGACCGCCCTGGACTAATGACCACTTGGTCATGTCTACGCCTAATCCCTCAAAGTTGTCCTTCAGGTATGTCTGAAATCAACAAAATTTGACTTCAAGTATGTCTGAAAACAACAGCTTTAGACTTCAAGTACGTCTGAAAACAACAACTTTAATCTTCAAGTAGGTCTAAGAACAACAACAGTAGACTTCAATTACGTCTAAAAACAACAACGTTAGACTTCAATTACGTCTAAAAACAACAACGGTAGACTTTGAGTAGGTCTAAATCACTAATTTTATCGTTCGAGTAGGTCTGAAAACAAGAAAGTTGTTCTGCAAGTAGGTCTAAAACACCAATTCATCCTTTTGACAAGTCTGATATCCAAGTTTATCACAGGACTACAGATTTTGATCTTGAATTATGTGATTTATGAAAAACATCACCTGACTAAAATGAAACTTTCTAAAACTTGTTTTATTATAAATTATATAAGAAAAAAATGGAAACACATGTAATATTCATTGATGATTATGAGCACTTACAGGATTAACAGAGTAGAGATGGCTACAGTCTGTGTTTCCATACCCCGAGTCACAGGAGCACTGAGGGGTGTTACATGTGCCACGCCCACTACAGTGATGCTCACAAGGGGGGCCCACATACAGCTGTCTCACCCCCCACATGTGGGTGTCACCCTCACTCCGATCTGCCTTCTGAGTCCATCGCAGACGGGTTCCACTGTGGACAAAGCAACCAAAAATATACATATTTGTACAAAATGTATTAATTATACATACTTTATCAGAGAAATAAATACACAAAACATACCACAACGGCGGTAACTCCTACACAACCTAGCTAGTGAATTTAGTAATATAATAAGGTATTATTATTTTTTACTAACATACAGTCACTGTTGTTGGCCCAGACTATACAGCCTAGGGAATTTTAAATGTGGCAGATACCGAAGTACCCAGAGAAAAGCCATGTTGTTGAGCCCCATGTCCTTTTTATGTCCAACTTGGGAAGTAAACTCTGACTGTCATGGTGAAAAGAACTTGTACTATCTGCAGCACCACCTAACCACAGACATTCTTAACTGTTACAATTACATTTGATTCATCGGTTCTGATATTAATATGAAATATATTCTTTACAGTTTCAATCTTAGTTGATTCATCGGGTCGGATATTAATATGAAATATAAGTGGTTTCTGATCAGATGAAATGGAAACAAGTTTAAGATTCTGTTTATACTATGCTCCTTCAAAGTTTGTGAAATTAGACATTTTGTGAATTTTAGAAAGGAAGTCAAAGAGAAATTTCAACATTTTATAAACTAGTTGAACAAACTTTGATGGAGCATATGATGAACAGAATCTCAAACTTAACTCCAATTTATCTGTTATTTTTATGAAGTAACTTTATAAAAATAACAGATAAAATGGAATAAAGTTTGAGATTCTGTTTATGTTATATGCTCCATCATAAGTTGTTTAATTTACGACAGTTTGTGAATTTTAGATTGGAAAAGTAAAAGTAAAATATATAACCATCTTGTTCCTTGTGACACCACAATGTAGGATATTACACCGTATAAATCAAACATTTACCTGACTGTGTTGTTACGGCCAGAGAATACGATAAATGACTTCAACCACATTAATACTTGCATTATGACTTACCTCGATACAGGAAGACCTTCAAGCTTCATAGTGACACGGCGCCACATTCCCATTGGCTCGCTGAAGTAGAGGGTGGACATTTGGGGCCCCCCGTTACACTGGGGATCATCAGGCAGACATTGGTGCTTAAGGTTATACCAGTGGAGACCACTGTCCGACGAGTACTGGAGGAGGACAGGAGGGCCACTGACATTCCACTCCTGGCCACAGCCCACGTTTATCTCAAACTTAATACGAGAAAGTAGAACTTCTTTGATTGAAATGTTTTTCGGCAATTTAAAACAAAAAACTCATTTTAATGTCATTTTCCTATAGCTTATTCTTACATTACAACAGTGAACATATGCTAGATATATCATTATGTATAAGTAACTAACTAGCATGTTGAAATGCAAATTTTGCAATTTTGTTCAGTGCTATGTAGAATCTGTCCTATAAATTAACAGATGCAGATGTGATCAAAATTGGTTATCATTAAATGTTGTATGTGAAATCCCTAACAATTTGGTTTTAAAAAATAAATCTGACAAGTTTTCCTTAGAATCTGGACTCTACAGAATTAGCAGATGCTATCAGTATTGGATATCAATAAATGCTATAATCCCTTAACCTTATGTCTGTCATGTATGCAGTCGCATTCCCTTTTCACAAATTTATAAAAACTACACGTCAGAGTTTATATCTGTAGCTGTACCTGTAACATATAGTTTTCCTCAATGTGGATATCCTGAGTGGTCAACACAGAGTTCTCGTCCACCAGGGTGGTACCCTTAGCAACATGTGATTCCCCACAGTAGTCATCGGCAACCATGTTGTCAGATGCCAGCCAATCATGGTCATTCAGATCATCCGAGAACTGACCAATCATGTTGCTTGGGTTGACCCTATGACCTCCGATTCTGACATTATCTAGGACCCAATCACCCACAGGTCGACCCCCGTGAGTGGGCTGCCACCATCGTATCCTGACAGCCCTCCGTTTAGCCCCTTCAGGTAAATCTGCATGGACAAACCTGTCAAATATTATAGATGATGTAAAACTCATTAAGTCAATGTGCAGTTAGGAGCAAACTTAACATCCAAGCCAAATTTGTAGTGTGCATGAAGTGAACAAGGTAGTACATTAGACTCCAGTTCACTAGCATGTTAACCCCAGTTCACTACCATGTAAACCTTAGTTCACTTTCATGTTAACCTTAGTTCACTTCCATGTTAACCCCAGTTCACTACCATGTTAACCCCAGTTCACTACCATGTTAACCTCAGTTTACAACCATGTTAACCCCAGTTCACTACCATGTAAACCTTAGTTCACTACCATGTTAAACCTAGTTCACTACCATATCAACCCCAGTTCAATACCATGTTAACCCCAGTTCACTACCATATCAACCCCAGTTCACTACCATATCAACCCCAGTTCACTACCATGTTAACCCCAGTTCACTACCATGTAAACCCCAGTTCACTACCCTGTTAACCCCAGTTCACTACCATGTAAACCTTAGTTCTCTACCATGTTAACCAAAGATCACTACCATATTAATCCCAGTTCACTACCATATTAACCCCAGTTCACTACCATGTTAACCTCAGTTCACTACCATATTAATCCCAGTTCACTACCATATTAACCCCAGTTCACTACCATGTTAACCCCAGGTCACTACCATGTAAACCTTAGTTCACTACCATGTTAACCTCAGTTCACTACCATATTTACCCCGGTTCACTACCATATTTACCCCGGTTCACTACCATATTTACCCTAGTTCACTACCATATTTACTCCAGTTCACTACCATATTTACCCCAGTTCACTACCATATTTACCCCTGTTTACTACCATGTTTACTCCAGTTCATTATCATGTTAATGCCAGTTTACTTTGAGTTAACTCCAGAATGATACTGGTTAAAAAACTGTACGAATATAAGCATGCAGGAAGTTCATTAATTAACTCTGATGTGCGTAATATCACATCCATCATCAATCTATACCTGCCGGTTTACTAGAAAACACTTCTATGTACTAAGTAAACTAGTTTTACTTCATATCAGGTATTTATGTTTTCACAAAGTGTTTGTATTAATACAGTCTTATAACTATGTCTACAGGTTAGTAGTAGGATTAACGATACATACTAAAACACGAAAACTCTTGTTATACTGCCATCATTTCTCAAGCAAAACATTGGCATTATAAAGGGGGTTGTCTCTTTATAAAAAGACATATAAAAGAATTGCTAATAAAAGTGAAAGGGACCTTGAAATACATATATTTTATTTGGTAGAGTGCGAGACGGCCAATGAAATGACCAGGAGCATCATATTGAGATTTTACTGTACTGTACAAAGATATCTTGTTTTCATTTGAGGGAAAAAAATCACTTTAATAAAGAAAACTGAGCCAGCTGCCTTAGATTCCTGTCCTGAAGTTTATATCTGTGTCATATATAAGGTTTAAGGATCCCCTTACCACTGCCAAAAACTGTAACTAAGCGTTAGAAACTGTTTTTTCCGGACTAAAACTTTTGATAAATCATTTCTGAAAAGAAAATCATACCTTGCAGGACTTTTATGAAATCAATAAAAATGATTAAAGAAACAAACTATAATCAACAACAGTGTTTTGAGAGTAAAAACGTCAACAAGGCTAGGCCTGGATTTGGACCCTAGACCTCAGATCTATATACTAATACCAGCTGTAATGAACTAAGTTACCTAGGCAACTCATGTGTCCTGGCTCAGCTGTGCTACAGTTACATCCAAAATGAAATTAAGATTAAGGGGAGTATATATGTAAAACAACAGTACAGCATGATAGGGATAGTTAAAAATCATCATCACCTTGGTGATCTGTAAAGGGCGTAGTATAGTTCCATGATGGGTGTCCAGGTGGAGCCACCGTCAGTGGAGTAATCAACCAGTACCCCCTGGTTACGAGTGACGGGGGCAGCATTGCATCCAAACATGAAATAGAACTGGATCATGGTCGCATTGGAGAGGTCAAGGTCATGACTGATCAGAAGTCGACTGCAATCCTGGCAACAAATTTACCATTAACAACCCAATTCTGGATGATAGTTGTTTTGTCATCATATGTGTCTATCAGATATATTAGATAAAAAATGTCAAAATTAATGTGTTCAATATTAATGAAGTGCATAAATCAAAACTAATATTCAAGGTCATGATAATTAGTTTTTCGTTAACTGTTTGTGACATTATCAATGGTGAGCAGTAATCTGTTTTGTTTTCGTAATGCACTTTATTATTTAGTTAAGATCATAGCATTCACTGACTTTGTCATTGGCAGTTTCCCATATTAACCTGCGCAAGAGTAATTTTTTGTTAGCATCATATTTTAACTCTAATAATGGCATTTTCCTTGGTGAATCTTAGTCTGCCCATTTTTATTCCTTTATTTCATATTCAATCACAAGAAATTTGGATATAGACAAGCCATATATCTACCAAACACTCCCAAAAAGATGACAAAAAAAGAAGTTCTTTTCGCTAAATATTCTGAGAACTTGTTTCGATAGGTTTGACACAAATTGACTTTGAAAATGCCTTCAACCTATAGCATACAGTGGTTAAATCTCTGCCAAGGGTCTACACAACCTCTTGGCTGACAAGGACAATATAATTATACCTAATACTGTTTATCCTACTGAGGTTATTGTAATTTCCTAACCCCGTCTCTTTTCCTACCTCCATGAAGTGCAGGGTGTTACCAGAAGCCAGGACTTCACATCCCTCGGTGACCATTGCTCCCACGACCTTTGACCACAGAGTATGGTCAATTCCGTTGGTGAATGTATCATACAGATATGTTGAAAGGGCCTTGATTGGTGTACTGCACTCGAAACCTGTCCAACCATCGTCACACCTGAAACAGAAACCAAGGAATCTTAGAACTTAAGTTATACAATGTACTAGTTAAACTTTCTTATATTCAACCAGTGGATGCCATAACAAAAAAGTTCAATACATTTTGTATTGTACTTGATCTAATAAGTGCCCCCTTCCTAATAATGTGTTTTTTAAGACCCCTGTACAACCAGGTTAAATTCCAAAACTCAAGAATTTTTAAAATATACAAGGTAAACTGGAACTGTCACCAGGACTTCCTCCTCCCCCTTCCTGCATCAAAGTACCAATTGTGTAGACAACATTGTGCTGGCAAACTTTTGTAAAATGGGGCATAATTCCTATAAAAGGGGTTGAATCAAAATATTAATGGAAGGTGCACAACTTCAGGGTGTAATGATAACATCAGTAAAGCTTCATGACATTCAGCTGAAAACTGAAGGACAGAAAGATAGTTATACATGTAACGAGTTTTATTGATTAACTTCTATGTACTCACAGACAGCCAGAGCTGGAGCAGCGCCCGTGACCTCCACACAATGAAGGACAGTCTTTGCCTATATACAGGTATGATACGGCCCATGGCTGTTTGTCTAACGCCCAACCAGCCTGTACCCACATCAGTCTCGTAGACTTAGACCTGCCACAAACAGAAAATAACTTTCATCACAATTGGAAAAGATACAATCATATCTATTTTTTAAAGAAACTCTTGACCTCGAGTTAAAATACAGTATTTACTCATTTACCCCTATATTTTCAAACTAAACTAGCTCTGTCTTTGATTTGGTAAGGTCCAAATGTGACTTTAGAGGTGAATGGGTTAAAATGACTAAGTACCTAGTACATGCATGAAGAAATCACATATGATGTTCTGTTGTCCAAAACTAATTATTGACAAATTTTTAATAATTTAAACTTTAACATCTTTTGATGACCTTGGCCTTAGGGAACAGACAATGGGAGTGGTATAAGAGTGGTATGAGAGTGGTATAGTGGTATAGTGGTATGAGAGTGGTATAATTAATTGTATGAGTGGTATAGTGGTATATGAGAGTGGTATAGTGATATATGAGTGGTATAGTGGTATGAGAGTGTCATCATGGTATGAAAGTGGTAAAGTGGTATGAGAGTGGTTTGGCGGTATGAGAGTGGTATAGTAGTATGACAGTGGTATAGTGGTATATGAGAGTGGTATAGTGGTAAATGAGAGTGGTATAGTGGTATGACAGTGGTATAGTGGTATGAGAGTGGCATAGTGGTATATGAGAGTGGTATAGTGGTATGAGAGTGGTATAGTGGTATGAGAGTGGTATAGTGGTATGAGAGTGGTATAATGGTATGAGAGTGGTATAGTGGTATATAAGAGTGGTATATGAGAGTGGTATAGTGGTATGAGAGTGGGATGATAGTGGTATAGTGGTATATGAAAGTGATATGAGAGTGGTATAGTGGTATGAGCGTAGTTTAGTGGTATGGGAGTGGTATATGAGTGGTATAGTGGTATGAGAGTGGTATAGTGGTATATGAGAGTGGTACAGTGGTATGAGAGTGGAATAGTGGTATGAGAGTGGTATAGTGGTATGAGAGTGGAATAGTGGTATGAGAGTGGTATAGTGATATGAGAGTGGTATAATGGTATATAAGAGTGGTATAGTAATATATGAGAGTAGTATAGTGGTATGAGAGTGGTATAGTGGTATGAGAGTGGTAAAGTGGTATATGATAGTGGTATAGTGATATATGAGAGTAGTATAGTGGTATAGTGGTATATGATAGTTGTATAGTGATATATGAGAGGGGTATAGTGGTATGAGAGTAGTTTAGTGGTATGGGAGTGGTATATGAGTGGTATAGTCGTATGAGAGTGGTATAGTGGAATATGAGAGTGGTATAGTGGAATATGAGAATGGTATAGTGGTATGAGAGTGGTATAGTCGTATATGAGTGTGGTATAGTGGTATATGATAGTTGTATAGTGATATATGAGAGTGGTATAGTGGTATGAAAGTGATATAGTGGTATGAGAGTGGTATAGTGGTATGATAGTGGTATATGAGAGTGGTATAGTGGTATATGAGAGTGGTATAGTGGTATGAGAGTGGTATAGTTGTATATGAGTGGTATAGTGGTATGAAAGTGATATAGTGGTATAGTGGAATATGAGAGTGGTATAGTGGAATATGAGAATGGTATAGTGGTATGAGAGTGGTATAGTGGTATATGAGAGTGGTATAGTGGTATGAGAGTGGCAAAGAGGAATATGATAGTGGTATAGTAATATATGAGAGTAGTATAGTGGTATGAGAGTGGTATAATGGTATATGATAGTGGTATAGTGGTATATGAGAGTGGTATATGAGAGTGGTATAGTGGTATGAAAGTGATATAGTGGCATGAGAGTGGTATAGTGGTATGAGAGTGATATGAGTGGTATAGTGGTATGAGAGTGGTACAGTGGTATGAGAGTGGTACAGTAGTATGAGAGTGGTTTAGTGGTATGGGAGTGGTATGAGAGTGATATGAGAGTGGTATAGTGGTATGAGAGTGGTATATGAGAGTAGTATAGTGGTATAGTGGTATGAGAGTGGTATAGTGGTATATGAGAGTGGTATATTGGTATATGAGAGTGGTATAGTGGTATGAGAGTGGTATAGTTGTATATGAGTGGTATAGTGGTATGAAAGTGATATAGTGGTATGAGAGTGGTATAGTGGTATGAGAGTGGTATAGTGGTATGAGAGTGGTATAGTTGTATATGAGTGGTATAGTGGTATGAGAGTGGTATAGTGGTATATGAGAGTGGTATATGAGAGTGGTATAGTGGTATGAGAGTGGTATAGTTGTATATGAGTGGTATAGTGGTATGAGAGTGATATAGTGGTATGAGAGTGGTATAGTGGTATGATAGTGGTATATGAGAGTGGTATAGTGGTATATGAGAGTGGTATAGTGATATATGAGAGTAGTATAGTGGTATGAGTGGTATAGTGGTATGATAGTGGTATATGAGAGTGGTATAGTGGTATATGAGAGTAGTGGTATAGTGGTATGAGAGTGATATAGGGGTATGAGAGTGGTATAGTGGTATATGAGAGTGGTATAGTGGTATAATGGTATGTGAGAGTGGTATAGTGGTATATGAGAGTGGTATAGTGATATATGAGAATGGTATAGTGGTATGAGAGTGGTATAGTGGTATGAGAGTGGTATAGTGGTATGATAGTGGTATAGAGGTATGTGACACAAATAATTTGCATTAACGATCCCTGTATCACTGCCAAAAACTGTAACTTAGTACTTGAAACTGTTTTATCCAACATTACTATGAATTTGATAAATCATTTCTGAAAAGGAATTAGAAACCATTGTTTAAGAGAAATGATAAAGATGAAATTAACAAATTATGACCAGTAACAGTGTTCTGAGTGTAAACTACAATACAGAGCTAGACCACCGATTCGAACCCTGAATTTCAGACTGCTAAACCATTGCTCTAACCCACTGAGCTACGCATACCTGGTTGACGGTAGTGACTTGGCCCAGTTGTGCTACAGTTATATCTAAACGGAAGTTAAGGGGAGGTTACAGCACATAGGAAAAACGACAGTGCATTGGGACAGGAATCCTTAATAGAAACAATTTGTAGACATTAATTTCCAGTGAAGCAACCTTGTATAGTGAGGCATGGGTATGGTGACCCTGTTCCAGCCCGTGTGGACGTCGGACACCAAGGAACTCCCAGGGTAGAAGCGTCCACAGTCTATATCTGATGGGAGGCAGGGCGCCTGTAGGAGCTTCCAGCTGTTACCCATGTCGTGGGAGTACTGTATGTCTATACCTGTACAACAAACAAAACATAGGTAAGGTGATCACCCATGTCGTGGGAGTACTGTATGTCTATACCTGTACAACCAACAAAACATAGGTAAGGTGATCACCCATGTCGTGGGGGTACTGTATTTTCATACCTGTACAACAAACAAAACATAGGTAAGGTGATTATCCAAGGTCAGCATGGATTTAAGCTATTTCAAAACAAGAAATGTACACAATTATGCTATAAGTTTAATTAAGATTAGATTTAAGCTTGTACACAGAATTTTATCTGTTTTCATAAGGCAAAATCTAATCTATGATCCTAATTTTTTAAAAGAAAACAAATCTATTTTCACCTCACTTTAACAGTCTAGATATTTAACAGAAGAAACTAAATACTTATAGGTGTAAAATTCTTATCCAATTTACTCCTGAGAGGTCAATGAATACAGTAAGTAGTGGACATTTACCGACAATTGATCTTTATATGAGGATTAGGGAGTAGGGAATCGACACTTACTGTAACATTCGAGTGATGGGCTACATCCCATGGCGATATCAAACTGGACAAACGTTCCCTCCTCCACCATTACATCGGCAGACGTGGCGTATCTCATTGGTCCCTCACCTGTAACTCAATTTTCATTTTTTTGAAGATCAGAATGAAAAATAAGTCCTGTCCAAACATTAGGATTTACTGTCTCATATACATGTACTAACAACACTGTTGCCTTCCAAAATATATTTCCATGGCAATTTTAATGTTATTGATCAATAAGATTGTTGAGTTTGTCACACTTTTGAACTTATTCCAGTGAAATTAACACTCTCCTTGGTAGTGAATTGACACTTACTGTGGAATGTATTTATTCTCCCCCTAGAAGTTATTTACATTCCCCCATGCATGGACGTGGAATGTATTTATTCTCACCCTAGAAGTTAGTACATTCCCCCATGCATGGACGTGAAATGACACTCATTCTAGAGTTGAATTTTTACTCCTCCAGGAAGTGAAACCATCCTTACCCTGGGAGATCACTCAAGGGTGTTGGAGACACAATGTTCCTTATAAGTTGAAAATCTAATGCAATTTTGATGATTACCGCAGTAGACAAATGTAGTATAGAGAGTCGCGGCCCGCTAACAGCTCATCAATGTATTCCAACACAGGGTATGAACAACTAGGCATAATTTAGATATTGGAATTTGTTACCCTGGAAGAGATTAAACTTCCCCTGGAACGGAATTTATACCCACTCTGAAGGTGAATTTACACTCACCCTGGAAGTGAATTGCCTCTGCCAGAGAGCCACATACATGTTCTATTTCCCCTCCCGGGTACATGAGCCAGCTTGTCTCCCGCGGGGTCATAGCATCATCCAGAAGGGGCTGCATCCCTTGAACATCACCTCCAATGTATATCTACACCAAAACAAAGTGTTCTGATGTTAAACATTAACAAATTTGTATGCAGGAAAAAGAGGAAATTTAGTAGAAGTTCAGGTATTGTTAAGTACTGTGCTAATGTAACTTGAGTTCAAAATTAAAGATTAAATAGCAAAAACAAGAAGTCCTTTTATTTTTATTTGTGCTTTTGACACCATTTATTTGCATCCAACCATCTGACACACCTACATAGCTACTGATATGTTTTACGTTGTACTGTGAGGCCTTGAGATGTACATTTATATCGGACCAACAACTTTTAATTTGCTAAGTTCCATGAGGTGTTTTACCAGGTCCAGGTACTTGACCATTCATAATGTAAGATCAATGGCCATGACCTTGACCTTGACATTACCTGGTCGATGGCCCAATTCTGGGTAAAGCTCCCGTCCAGCGAGGGCTGCCACCAGCGGAGATGTGTGGAGTTGGTGCGAGCCTTCTCTGGCAGATGTAGGGCATAGTAGGCTGGTCTGTTACTGTGTTGGTTAAAGTCGAACTGTTCAATTGATTGCCAGGACACTCCGCCATTGATACTGGACTGGAGGTACACAGGCAAAGTGTCATCTGTCAAAGGTGTGGCCTCACAGCCCAGACGCAGAAAAAACTGTACTGTACTGAAAAAGAATTACGCGAGTTATATCTATTGAAAATACTTTATGCAAAAACTATACTTTCGAAAGACAGCATAGTAATACACAGTTTAGGGTGAAGCTTATTTCAATTAAATTCATTGAGTTTTATGTCAATTCAAAATACAATTGTGACTGATTGATAAACATAATATGTAATAATTTGAAATCAAAGTTACACCTAATTGATGATGTCACATATGTGCAAACCCGATATTTGGAAGTATTATATTTCTGTGAAAGAGGAAATTTAAATATATCTTGTAGATTAAACAGATAATATTTATGTAGAATATATATCAGACCCATTGCTAATGCTAGACTTTTCACCACGATCAGTTGAAAAAGTCTAAATATGGACATTTCCGTATGTGAAAATTCCTATTTTACAGTACGACCTGATATTTTTTAAATAGACAGCAATGTCTATTTCACATTACCGAAATCTAAGAAATGTGAAGTATGCATTATAATGTTGTTTTACAAATATCAAGCAGTACTGTTAAAGAGGACCTTTGTATGTTAGTGAGGCAGATATCATGTCACATGACATGCTATAATCAAGGTCAAACCTACATAAGGTGTATGTGGAAAGGTCATGATTACCTACCATTTATATTGGTGAGGTCAAGGTCATGATTACCCACCATTTATATTGAAGGTCAAGGCCATGATTACCTACCATTTGTAAGCAAAGTTCACGGCTACCTAACATACATAAGGTCAAGGTCATGTATACTTGACATTTTACCAAGGTTAAGTCGACCTGATACAGGTCAGGTCAAGGTCACGGCTACCTAACATACTTAAGGTCAAGGTCATGTATACCTGACATTTATAAAGTCAAAGTTATGTCTACATAATATTTGTAAGGTCAAGGCTGTGCACAAATGCCTACTTCACAACTGAAAAGATGGGCTCAGTTTGACATTGATGATTTGTCAGGTGAAGGTCATGCTTACCTGACATTGCTGAGGTCAAGGTCCCTACTGACCAGCATCCTCTCGCCAGGGGCATTGAAATGGAGACTTGTGCCACTCAGAAGAAGGCCACACTCATCACTGATTTGGCCACCACTCGACAGCCACCACTTGGTTTCGTCAACTGGCTGATCTGCAAAGGAATCAAGGTCAAGTTACAAGTTACAAGTAAAACAAATATGAGCTGTCTGTTAAATTAGGTAAGAAACTGAGAGGCATGCCTTAATTATAGTTATACATGTATTGATTAGTTATACATGTATTGATTAGTTTTACATTGATACAATTAATGAATCTGCTTTTTATCTTAAGACTACTTGCATTATATTGCACATTTTTTTTTTATGGAATCCCACCTAACTAAGATTGGGGAAAAATTACAGCACATTTCAGAATCAAAATCCAAATTCTTTTTTTTTAATCAAATTTTTTTCTTTTGAAATTTCGATTTTTTTGTTATTCTTAAATTGTGAAGGCAAATATCTAAATCTCATTAATATCAATGGAGCTGAATATTGGTCTTAACCAATTCCCCACTAAAATCATATTCAAACCTTACCAAATCAAAGACTGGAAAAGTCTAATTTAAATATGTAGGGGTGAATGAGTTAAATCAATCTATATTCAGGAAAAATTCTTTTGGTAAGCACTACCAATATATTATTGATCCCTACTAGCACACTGACCATGAGGTATGTTTACACCTCCAGTCCGAGTGAAAACAAAGTCTGTTTGTGTAAAGTCATCTCTGAGATATTCTGGAAGCCGATTGGCTGGATGGCAGCTGTCGCCTTGGTAACCTGGATCACATGTACACATCATCGTGTTTGAACACTCCCCATGTCCCAAGCAGTTGTCCATACAGGCCATCCCAATGAACACATTGTCAATAGCCCACTCAGGGCCAAAATCTTCGTCCGGAACGAACCCCTGGTACCATCGGAACCTCAGGGACCTTAAAAAGAATTAGATCTACTTTGATAACATATTAACCTCTCACATGGATGACGAGAACGTTTTCCATTAGTTGAATATGGATTATCTAGCTATGATAAGAATTTCCATTTCGATCATCAAAAATAAACACCATGAGGTTTTAATTAGTTGATATAATAGTGATTGGTTAATTTGTATTTGAAATATTTCACCTAGCGACCTACCCACATGTGTAGAGAGTATCAAGAGTTATTAGGACACGTCGCCAGTAGCTGGAAGTGCCTCCGTAGTACATGGACGGGTGGAGAGTGACATCGAAACAGCGAGCAGACGACACTTCAGCACAGTTGGGCACCAGTAAATGCCATGTTTTCCCACCATTGGGGGAGTACTCCAGACGAACAGGGTATCTGTCTGTAGATTCTGCCTCACAACCAACGTTGATCTGGAACGTCAATAATCAATTTTGGTATCGTATGATCTACATACATTTTCAGTTATTCAAGCAGTATCATATATTTACATCTCACCCTTCTTCAGCTTAGCAAACTCTGACTGCGTATAAAGGCTCGGCTGACGGATACTCATATCAGATATGGTGCCGATCACACTTCAGTGAGATAACAGATACAAATATAGGCATGTACATTACTTACGAATAAAAATTACATGTATGTATAAAGCATACATGTTTAGTGTTCTGTAAAACTGACATATACAAGTAAGGAAATATAGAATAAAACAAAACAAAATTTCCAAATATTTTCTTGAGGTTGGTAAGTATGGATTATGAAAAGTTTGTTTTCCACAACCAATAAGAAAATTTCATTGGTTGAGTAAAAAAAACTTTTCATAAAACACAATTTCCTAGGACTGGTTCAACTAAACTCAGGACAAACAATATACTTCTATATAAAACTGTACTCAGGACAATCAATATATATAAAACTGTACTCAGGACAAACAATATACTTATATATAAAACTGTACTCAGGACAAACAATATACTTATACATGAAACTGAAGGACAAACAAGAGGACCACAGGCCTTTATAATTAAACACCTTTTAACCATTAAGTAGTTTTAATAGTACATTTGAAATCCATAATGTAGAAACAAGCTCGACAATCCTTCCCCCTATCAGTACAGGCTAGCGTGCTACATAATCAATACCATGACTGCAGGCCTCATGTTTATGTAGTTCAAGTCATTTGTTGATAGGAACATATAATAAACTACATAGACTTATAGTATGAACCTAGGCCTGATGGTTCTGTGGAAAAAGAAAAAAAAATAGGGACATTTGACCCTTCCTGTGTCATATAAAATTTTCATCCCCCATAAAATACTCTTCCGGATAGGTATCTTATGGGGATGATTATTTTATAGGACACCGGTATTAAAAAAAATCATTTGAACAACTTTAAATTCCCATAGATCCTACAAGATAGAGGAAGTTTTAAGTCGCAAAACATGACACTAAGACTCATAGTTCCATAGAAGATGTTGTTTTAAGATTTTAAAACATTTCACCTTTGTGACCTTGACAGATGTCCTAACCAGTAAGCTACAGATCAAATATCATGTCTCTAAAGCCTCAGGCTTTTTTTGAAATTATTTTTCAAAGAAGAAAACAAAAGTATGTATTATGGGTTCTATATTGTCACTTATGTGATACAAGGAGTGCTAAAAATGAACAAGTGCTCACGTCAAACTGTAGGACAGACATGGGTCCCACATCCATGTCCTTGGTTACTACATAGTGCTCTCCTGAATCTGGGCCCCGTCTGAACACCAAACCAGACTGTCCTGCTGAAACTGTGTCTCTTCTACACCACAAAAAGAAAAGAAAAATAATCTTCAGTCTTTATGACATTATAAAGGATGTTTCCAGTCAAATTTGGTGAAATTTTGTTCAGTGGTTCAGAAGAAGAAGCCATTTGATGACATGTTTGATGGACAGACAACAGATCACCACAGAAAGGAATAAGCTCCCCTTGGTGATTTGGAACAGTTCAGTTAACGAGGGACATTATCTATATCAAAGTTTTACTGTACATTTGTATGCGGTTTTAATTTGAGGAAAACGTCTTTTTTAACAAGTCCTTGCAAACTTCCAACAGTTCACTGCTTCTCACCGGTATGTGGCAGGTCCACTGATCCAGCTAGTAGGTTTGGTTAAGTTATATTGTCAAGTCTCACTGAATTGGAAAATTTTGTTACCAGATAAGAAATCAATTGAAATTTTGGCTGAAATTGGAATTCATTTTATACTTGCAATCGCTTTTCCCAGTAAATTTCGATATTTGGTTAACATTAATGGTGTTAAGTGAAGCTGTACACAGTTTAGAAATGAAGGCAAACTTGTTGTACCTGGTTTTGTGTTGACAATAACTCCCAACCTCTCCATCATTGACAAAAAGCCAAACATCAGAAAGAGGCTGAGTGTCAAAATTGTCTGTCAATGAGCTGGGGTTCATAACCATCCGACCGATAAACAGATTATCTACTGCCCAGGTGGATCTCATCTTACCTGCAACATACACAGCATATCTTATATATTATCATCTCTTCATTACTGTGAGAAATTCTATATCCTGAAAATTGTGTCCAGTAGTTAATATGTAAAATCAAATATTAGTTTTGCAAATTCACATGTCAAACTCAAAATGAGACTTTTTGAAGTTTTCGTTTTTTCAAATTAAGCAAATACAATAATTATTACAATTTGAAAATCCATTTATTGTGAAAAAGGAACGAGAACAACTTTTTTTACCTCCATTTTTCGGCTGCCAAAATCTGATGCGAGTGGCATTGTTTCTTGCCTTGTAAGGAAGGTCAAGGCCAAAGAATCTGCAATAGTAATACAGCACATAGATTATCAGTGTTTAAAACTCACCAAACTGTTGTCATTAGTTAAGCCATCTTTTGGCAGTTATGTAAATATTTACCCTTTATGACTCCAAACCGTTGTCTCCATTATAAAGGCAAGTTTATCATGACAGCTAATAAAAGTACACAGAATATAATGTATAGCAAATATTTGACTGGGCGAAAGTTTTCAAGTAAACCCTATACAATGAAACCTTGAATACAATGAAACCTTCAATACAATGAAACCTTGAATACAATGAAACCTTGAATACAATAAAACCTTCAATACAATGAAACCTTCAATACAATGAAACCTTCAATACAATGAAACCTTGAGAAAAGCAAACTGTCATATTTTCTTATTTTATCTAGCCTAATTTCAGCACTATAATTTGATATGGCATAACAATTTATTTTACGAATGTCTTACAAAGGAATTATAGGGTACTAGTTAACAAGAAAGTAAATGAAACAACAGTTATTAGAGGAAAACTTTCAAAGTTCACTTTTAAAACTATGAAATCTTCATTGATTACATGCATGTGTACCTGTTGCCATGGTTACTGTGTACAAAGCTGTTGCCATGGTTACTGTGTACCTCCCTGTTGCCATGGTGACTGTGTACATATCTGTTGCCATGGTGACTATATGGACCTATCTGTTGCCATAGTGACTATGGACCTATCTGTTGCCATGGTGACTATGGACCTATCTGTTGCCATGGTGACTAAGGACCTATCTGTTGCCATGGTGACTGTGGACCTATCTGTTGCCATGGTGACTGTGGACCTACCTGGCACCATGGTGACTATGGTAGTGTATCTCCTTGAGGAGGTTCCATGTGATTCCCCCGTTGGTACTGTACTGGAGGAGCACACTCTCCGACCGAGGCCAGTCAAGCACCTCACCGTTACAGCCAAACTTGAAGGAGAACTCCATTGTATCCAGCATACTGGTGTCAATGTCGCGACTCACCACCATCCTAAGGTTCTCCTGTGGGGTAAAACTTATCATCACTTTCAAGAGCAGTGGAATCCATTCGTCTTTGCTCTCACTGATAGGTCGGATGATTTCCAATACAAAAGCTTTATATCTTGTAACAAATGTTCAATATAAATAGGCAAGAGGCCTAAAGGTCTTGAAATACTCAGCTAGCTAATTTGGAAATCAAAATAAAATCAGACAGCATGAAAATATCCTCTTTATCTTTATAGCTTTTGATCCCTATGAGTATAGCATGATATAGTCCGAATTATTCTGACGTTTTATCGACTTTTTTCATATCGGTCTGTCGTCGATTAACATCAGAACTCCGGCCCTCTATAATATGCGGGAAATATGCGACCAGCGCCCGGAGCGCACTTCAAACTGATATTTTAGAAACAAATCGTCACTTTCACACACATGTCGCACATGGATCGAAAGATCTATTCTTTATGCACAAGATGAACATACATAACATGCCTAAAACAACCAATACAATCACTAAAAACATATTTTATCAAACTTACTCTGTTTTACTCTAGTTTTTTGATAGCCCCGCCTTCTAATGCCACGTGACTAAAATCTCGCCGGCCTACATCATAACGCTGGGAAATACCTTCGGTAACGCGAGATCTCGTCAAGTCATGTGACATTGCTCATGGCCTAATTTCCATTAAAAACATGGGTTGGTATAGAAAACGTTGGAAAATACTTTTTGTAATGATCTTTGAAACATGTTATTGATACCACCTAGTGCATAAAGAATAGATCTTTCGATCCATGAGCGACATGTGTGTGAAAGTGACGATTTGTTTCTAAAATATCAGATTGAAGTGCGCTCCGGGCACGGGTCGCATATTTCCCGCATATTATAGAGGGTCGGAGTTCTGACGTTAATCGACGACAGACCGATATGAAAAAAAGTCAATAAAACGTCAGAATAATTCGGACTTAGCATGATACAGCTACGAATTGGTTAAAATCTACACAGCAGTTTTTGAATGGATATCATTTTAAGCAAATCAGCCAATTCGACTCTTTAACCCTTTCCCAGTCCTCCCACCCCAGAGCCCCCTATATATCCTCCCACCCTGTGAGAGCCCCCTATATATCCTTCCACCCTGTGAGAGCCCCTATATATCCTCCCACCCCAGAGCCCCCTATATATCCTCCCACCCCAGAGCCCCCTATATATCCTCCCACCCCGGAGCCCTCTATATATCCTCCCACCCCAGAGCCCCCTATATATCCTCCCACCCCAGAGCCCCCTATATATCCTCCCATCCCAGAGCCCCCTATATATCCTCCCAAGCTACTGCGTAGAATTTAACTTCAGTGCCAGTATCCTCTAGACATGGGGACCACTGTCTTGATATTAAATACAAAAGTACTCATATATCGGAATCTATTTCATTTTTAAATTGTGAATTAGAAATTTTGATTTAGAGTAAAAAATAACTCTAATATATATGCAGATGTAAGAAAGCCTGCTCTCTGGATTGAGACAGTTTGCCAAAAACAAGGGCCCATATTCATGAAACCGTTCAAATTCTTGTTTTCTCTCAATAATTTGGAAGAAGTTTGGAGAGACTAAAAGCAGAATACCATTTTCAATATTTACACTTGACCTTTGCCTGTATCACATGATTTAAGCCGGTTGCAATAAAATTGAATGATTATAGAATCCATGCTTGAGCATGAGAATGGTTTTATGAATACGAGCCCTGGATATTGGTTATTTGATTCAGATTGACTATGTGTTATTATAGATATAGGAAAAGCCTACTTTGTGGAATGTGAGTGACCGTCCACTGACAAGTTTGCCGCAGATGTCTGAGTTTTCCCCTCCGTAAATTTCCCTCCAGTTGTCAGTGTTTATGTCACGAGTGTTAAAGTCATCCCTAAGCATCATGGGTAGGGGCGTACTTGGTACGCAGTAAGGGCCAGCAAATCCTTCATCACACCTGTGTAATAAACAGTTACAATGTTACAGATAAATATTATGGTAAGTATCACAGTTAAAACTCATCTTTTTAAGAATATATAATAATATTTTTTAAGAAATATTGTCAGTACTAGCTTGTACGGTAAATATCATATATTTAAATGGTAAATATTTAATATTTAAAAACCTTGTATGCTGTCCAAAAATTAGCCCCAAAATCGAAGATAATTTCCTGTTTCATATCTGCTATAGTTAAAATACCTTTTGTTTTATCGTTTAAGCATTCAAAGGACACTATAGCACTATAGGTAGAAAATATATATGATGACTTACCAGATGTTTCTTTAAATTTCTTACTTGCAAATAGAGAAAAGAATTGTTTTGTTGACACAATGATACTTACACACAAGTCTTGTTTCTACAGTAGCCCTGACCAGAACACAGCCATGGACAGCCATCTCCGAGATATACATTATCCAAAGCCCAAACGTTTCCTCGCTGGGACGACGCATGCTGCATCCATCGGAATCGTGTAGTTGGTGACCTGAGCAGAGAACCCCACATTTTACTGAATGTCAGCCTTACACATATGATATACATCCAAGTAGCTCTGAACGTCGTAACATAGTGATGAGCACCAGTTTGTCGTACAAAGATTGTAAAACCTATCCTTTCAACTTTCCTTTTAAAAATATCTTCATTTCATTGGATAGATTCATATGTTACACTGCCACTTTCTAGAGATTTTTGTTTCAAAACATTCCACACCCCTTTCCAGAAAAAGACCTAGGTAACTTTTCAGGGTCTAACCGAGGACTATGATTGACCTTGTAAGGGGAGTTAGATCTAAAACTCAGGACTCTTACTGACTATAAAGAAGTATAAGGGGTCAAGTCCTAAACTACCACAGACCTTATATTGACATAAGTAGTCAAACCGATCACTACAATTGACCTTCGACAGAAGGGGTCAAACTGATGACTAACATTACCCTGTTAGGAACATAAAAGATCAAAATCCATGACAACCATTGACTGACTAATAACCCTTGCCCTTTTAGGGCACTTAGGGTCAAAACACGAACTACCAGAGAACAAAACACAGTTACGCATTCTATTTCCCACATCTCTGTCTTGTACGTCTCTGCTCCAACTACAATCATTTTCACAAAGAAATCCCATGTGATGTATAATTTCCAGTAGACTTACACAGCACCCGGTGGCAGATAGACAGACACTCTTGTCCAGTTGCGGTGCTGATCAGAAACATACTCGCTGGACAGGTGGTAGCCAGAGCACTCAAAATTCGGTGGCGTACACTCCTCCACCACGGGTCGCCAGGTCTGGCCCATATCTACCGAGTACTCCAGCTCCACACTGTAGAGAGTACCGTAGATCGTCCCATACAGTGAGTCACATGCCATGGCGATGTCAAACTGGAGAAACATTGATGGTGTCACATGGAAGTCATGTGTCACAGCAAACCGCAATCCTGTGGAGAGAATATATTGAAGATATTTATAAAACATGCACATTTCATCTAAATTACAATATCATGCTATAAGTTGTGTGAATATGTTTATTCAATCATGGTCAAAATATACCCAGAAGTCTGTTGTTAATATTTTTTGATTATTTCGTCTTGGTGTTTTTTAAAATGAAGTTCTGCAAAGTATGTGTTTATTTTAAGAAATGATTTAAAGTCATGCAGAAAAACTTCCAATTCATAGTGACAGATTTTAGCAGCAGTACAAAGTACAAAAGTGGGGTAGTTGTGTGCAAATTAAAGTATAAAGATCACATGTTGAACATTGATTCATCATTACTACTCTCACCTTTATCCCTGCTGAATTCCAAGGCATTTCCCTGAGAGTTGCAGGTGGTCCTAGGAATGGCACTTTCTGTCAGCATCCAATTCTGGGGGTCAGGGGTCATGGAATGGAAGTCGTCATGAAAACCATCTGAATTTGTCTCGTTCACACCCACAATGACACTGTCCAGGCCCCACTCGGCCCTTGGTAATGCTGGCAATAGAAATCAGCATAATCATGAAATACTTAAGGATTTTGAATTAAAGACACCGATCGTGTATTTGGATAAATACAGTCAAATTCGTTAATTGTATCTTCATCATAAAAAGACATTATCTTTAACCCTTTCACCACTATAGACCATAATGGACTCATCAATATCAATGCATGGTAGAGTCTACTAAAGTTACATAGTGGTGAAAGGGTTAATCTATTTTTAAGATTTTATTTATTTCACTCAGTATCTAATTTAGAACAATAAAAATATATATTCAGTGAACTTTTTTAAATGCTCTCTCATATACTGACCTCATGTAACCCTGAAGTGGACAATGTCATTCTTTATAGCCCTTTACCCTAGCATTATAGAAGCAAAATAGTATTTCCATAGGCCTCTTTATCATTCAGAAGGTGTTTAAATTATTAACACATTTGACCCTTGTGATCTTTGACATTGAGACCTTAAAAGTAACAAGCCCTTTCGGCAGGTGAGCCACAAACACAAAATAGAAATGAAGATTATATTGATATTATTTACTGCATCATAAGACTTTTTAAAATTCTCATATTTCTATGGAACATGGAGGCCATTAATTTAAAACTGATTTAGGAAGAAACCCTGATTACACTGTACCTCCATAGCCCAAAGGTTGCCACCATTTAAAGATTGTGGCCTCTGTTTTTGCTTCCGGTGGCAAAGAGATGGTGAGAATTTCTGTGCTTCCGTTGTAGATACGAGGTTCTACGACCTTCAGTGTGTGCCACGTGACCTCATTATCGGTGGAGAAGGCCACCACCACGCCCTCGTTTCGACTGTTGGGCTGGTGGCAGTTTGAAGAGCTACCGTCACTACCAATGCGAATGGCAAACTGCAGCATCCTGTGAAGCAGAGTATGGACATATTTCTCTATTTCTGTTGACATTGTGTTAATGAAGATGAGATTATCTAATATATATTTAGGATATTTCAGTTTTATGTTTAAATATGCTTTCACAAATGTTGATATCATACACAGTAAAACTTTTAGAATTTTCGGGTACATTACACTTTATTTTAATTTTGTATCTAATTCATTATACAAACTATGGCTGTAAGTTTTTTAGCAAATGCAACTGAGAGGGTGTGTGAACATTATTGACAATTATCATCTATGGAATTTTTCTTCAAATGAAAATTAAAATTTGCGAATAAACATGAAAATCAATCTATCACAAAAATAAAGTGATTGGCGAGCAACCCCATTTTTCTAAACTCTAACAATGGGACAGTAGTGAAGAGAAGTGATATGATTTTCTCACCTGAGAAAGGTAACATCTCCAATATCTACCTGAGAAAGGTAAGGTATCCAATATTTACTTGAGAATGGTAGTTTTCAGAGGTCATGCTTTCCCCACAGAAAGTTATTTCTTAGAGCTCATTTTTACCTGAGAATGGTAATTTATAGAGGTGTTTACTTTCTTACCTGAGCAAGGTAATTTAGAGAGGTGTTTACTTCCTTACCTGAGAAAGGTAGCTTAGAAAGGTGTTTACTTCCTTACCTGAGAAAGGTAGCTTAGAAAGGTGTTTACTTCCTTACCTGAGCAAGGTAAATTGAATTAGAGAGGTGTTCGCCTGAGAAAGGTAATTTAGAGAGATGTTTTTACTTTCTTACCTGAGAAAGGTAATTTATAGAGGTGTTTACTTACACACCTGAGAAAGGTAATTTAGAGAGGTGTTTACCTGAGAAAGGTGACTTAGAGAGGTGTTTACCTGAGAAAGGAAATTTAGAGAGGTGTTTACCTGAGAAAGGTGACTTAGAGAGGTGTTTACCTGAGAAAGGAAATTTAGAGAGGTGATTACTTTCTTACCTGAGAAAGGTAACTTAGAAAGGTGTTTACTTTCTTACCTGAGAAAGGTAACTTAGAAAGGTGTTTACTTTCTTACCTGAGAAAGGTAATTTAGACAGGTGTTTTTACTTTCTTACCTGAGCAAGGTAACTTAGAGAGGCGTTTACCTGAGCAAGGTAACTTAGAGAGGTGTTTACCTCAGCAAGGTAACTTAGAGAGGTGTTTACCTCAGCAAGGTAACTTAGAGAGGTGTTTACCTCAGCAAGGTAACTTAGAGAGGTGTTTACCTCAGCAAGGTAACTTAGAGAGGTGTTTACCTGAGCAAGGGAACTTAGAGAGGTGTTTACCTGAGCAAGGTAATTTAGACAGGTGTTTACCTGAGCAAGGTAACTTAGAGAGGTGTTTGCCTGAGCAAGGTAACTTAGAGAGGTGTTTGCCTGAGCAAGGTAACTTAGAGAGGTGTTTACCCGAGCAAGGTAACTTAGAGAGGTGTTTACCTCAGCAAGGTAACTTAGAGAGGTGTTTACCTCAGCAAGGTAACTTAGAGAGGTGTTTACCTCAGCAAGGTAACTTAGAGAGGTGTTTACCCGAGCAAGGTAACTTAGAGAGGTGTTTACCTGAGCAAGGTAACTTAGAAGGGGTTTACCTGAGAAAGGTAACTTAGAGAGGGGTTTACCTGAGAAAGGTAATTTAGAGAGGTGTGTACTTTCTTACCTGAGAAAGGTAATTTAGACAGGTGTTTACTTTCTTACCTGAGCAAGGTAATTTATAGAGGTGTTTACTTTCACACCTGAGAAAGGTAATTTAGAGAGGTGTTTACCTGAGCAAGGTAATTTAGACAGGTGTTTACCTGAGCAAGGTAACTTAGAAGGTGTTTACCTGAGAAAGGTAACTTAGACAGGTATTTACCTGAGAAAGGTAACTTAGAGAGGTGTGTACCTGAGAAAGGTAACTTAGACAGGTATTTACCTGAGAAAGGTAACTTAGAGAGGGGTTTACCTGAGCAAGGTAACTTAGAGAGGCGTTTACCTGAGCAAGGTAACTTAGAGAAGTGTTTACCTGAGCAAGGTAACTTAGAGAGGTGTTTGCCTGAGCAAGGTAACTTAGAGAGGTGTTTGCCTGAGCAAGGTAACTTAGAGAGGTGTGTACCTGAGAAAGGTAACTTAGACAGGTATTTACCTGAGAAAGGTAACTTAGAGAGGGGTTTACCTGAGCAAGGTAACTTAGAGAGGCGTTTACCTGAGCAAGGTAACTTAGAGAAGTGTTTACCTGAGCAAGGTAACTTAGAGAGGTGTTTGCCTGAGCAAGGTAACTTAGAGAGGTGTTTACCTCAGCAAGGTAACTTAGAGAGGTGTTTACCCGAGCAAGGTAACTTAGAGAGGTGTTTACCTCAGCAAGGTAACTTAGAGAGGTGTTTACCTCAGCAAGGTAACTTAGAGAGGTGTTTACCTGAGAAAGGTAACTTAGACAGGTATTTACCTGAGAAAGGTAACTTAGAGAGGTGTTTACCTGAGAAAGGTAACTTAGAGAGGTGTTTACTTCCTTACCTGAGAAAGGTAACTTAGAAAGGTGTTTACTTCCTTACCTGAGCAAGGTAACTTGAATTAGAGAGGTGTTCACCTTAGAAAGGTAATTTAGAGAGATGTTTTTACTTTCTTACCTGAGAAAGGTAATTTAGAGAGGTGTTTACTTTCTTACCTGAGAAAGGTAATTTTAGCGAGGTGTTTACTTCCTTACCTGAGAAAGGTAATTTTAGAGAGGTGTTTACTTCCTTACCTGGGAAAGGTAACTTAGAAAGGTGTTTACTTCCTTACCTGAGCAAGGTAACTTGAATTAGAGAGGTGTTCACCTTAGAAAGGTAATTTAGAGAGATGTTTTTACTTTCTTACCTGAGAAAGGTAATTTAGAGAGGTGTTTACTTTCTTACCTGAGAAAGGTAATTTAGAGAGGTGTTTACTTTCTTACCTGAGAAAGGTAATTTAGAGAGGTGTTTACTTTCTTACCTGAGAAAGGTAATTTAGAGAGGTGTTTACTTTCTTACCTGAGAAAGGTAATCTTAGAGAGGTGTTTACTTCCTTACCTGAGAAAGGTAATTTTAGAGAGGTGTTTACTTCCTTACCTGCGAAAGGTAACTTAGAAAGGTGTTTACTTCCTTACCTGAGCAAGGTAACTTGAATTAGAGAGGTGTTCACCTTAGAAAGGTAATTTAGAGAGATGTTTTTACTTTCTTACCTGAGAAAGGTAATTTTAGCGAGGTGTTTACTTCCTTACCTGAGAAAGGTAACTTAGAGAGGTGTTTACTTCCTTACCTGAGAAAGGTAATTTTAGAGAGGTGTTTACTTCCTTGCCTGAGAAAGGTAACTTAGAAAGGTGTTTACTTCCTTACCTGAGCAAGGTAACTTGAATTAGAGAGGTGTTCACCTTAGAAAGGTAATTTAGAGAGATGTTTTTACTTTCTTACCTGAGAAAGGTAATTTAGAGAGGTGTTTACTTTCTTACCTGAGAAAGGTAATTTAGAGAGGTGTTTACTTTCTTACCTGAGAAAGGTAATTTAGAGAGGTGTTTACTTTCTTACCTGAGAAAGGTAATTTAGAGAGGTGTTTACTTTCTTACCTGAGAAAGGTAATTTAGAGAGGTGTTTACTTTCTTACCTGAGAAAGGTAATTTAGAGAGGTGTTTACTTTCTTACCTGAGAAAGGTAATTTAGAGAGGTGTTTACTTTCTTACCTGAGAAAGGTAATTTAGAGAGGTGTTTACTTTCTTACCTGAGAAAGGTAATTTAGAGAGGTGTTTACTTTCTTACCTGAGAAAGGTAATTTAGAGAGGTGTTTACTTTCTTACCTGAGAAAGGTAATTTAGAGAGGTGTTTACTTTCTTACCTGAGAAAGGTAATTTAGAGAGGTGTTTACTTTCTTACCTGAGAAAGGTAATTTTAGAGAGGTGTTTACTTCCTTGCCTGTGAAAGGTAACTTAGAAAGGTGTTTACTTCCTTACCTGAGCAAGGTAACTTGAATTAGAGAGGTGTTCACCTTAGAAAGGTAATTTAGAGAGATGTTTTTACTTTCTTACCTGAGAAAGGTAATTTAGACAGGTGTTTCCCTTAGAAAGGTAATTTAGACAGGTGTTTACCTGAGAAAGGTAGTGTTCAGAGGCACTGTCACAGCCTCCCGTGTACCCTCATTATTGAAGAACAGAGCATTCCCATAATCCACCACTCCACAGCCGAGACCAAGCTTTCCTCCCATAATCCTTCTCCAGATGTTACGAGGCTTGTGATGGTTGTCAAACCAGTCCAATAGGCCATGAGGGGTCTCATCTGGCGACCGACAATCTGGCTCTGGAGACGAAGAGGAGGAATTCATTTTTATTTTCTTAAATATTCTGTCTGACATAAACAGTGGTTGAGAATAAGTTTACTCTATCTCCACTTAGCTTTGGTAACATATCTGAAACATTTGACTGGGGTTTTGATACTGATAGTACTGGTAACATGCTATCCAACACAACAATTGTATCTATAAAATTTAAAGTATTAAATGTAAAGTATTCAAAATCATTTAAAGGACATATGAGTTTGCGGATGAAGAGTATACCCACCAAATCAACGAATATTAGTGATTTCACAGTATGTTAAATATGGGCCATACAATCTTGTCAAAAAAAGAACTCATAGCTATAAAGTTTCATAAATCACAAGTCGAGAAATGATAAATGTAGTCAACTGTGATTGCCTGATAATCCATACTTGCCAACCCTCCCTATTTAGGAGGGAGACTCCCGATTTTGGACCCTTAAATTTAGTGTTTTCAAAGAGTGAATTTGTTTAACTGTTTCTATATTCTAAGATCTAATGATTTCATCTGAAAGAACAACTCAAAATATGACTTTTAAAGGGTCATTTTGTCTCTAGGGGGTGTATACACACATTTTATTTATGTTTTGATTTTGAGCATGATGAATCTCCCCCATAAAAAAATAAAAAAAAGTTGGCAAGTATGATAACCCTTTGAAATGTGAAACACTCTTGTCATAACACATATACCTGGGTATCTATTGAGTACCATAATATTTAGTGGTTCTGACGTTAAAGTCATGGTCTGAACAAAACACATGTGATCTTCTCAGAGACATAACTTGTTAATCATCAAAACGGAGTTGACAACTGGGATTTAAACTCACTACGGAAAATTGTAAAAAAAAAAGGAAATAAGTGTACATGATACAGCAAACTTTCTCTCTGATAGTGACTCCTACCAAAAAGCAACAGCTATATTTCTCAGAAGAGCAAACACAGAAAACAAGGAAGACTCATTTGAAAGTTTAGCGTCACAATAAAAGGTGACATTTTTTGTGTATCCCTTAACATTGTTCGGGGAGTGAGAAGTTACTAAAAGGAAGATAAATTATAAAATCATACAGCATCATTCATTGACACCCCTTAAAATGTTTCTCAGCAAAAGGCATCTTTTAGAACATGCTAATGAAAAAACATTTTGATATCACAACATCTCCTAACAAGAAATATTTCGAAATCTCCTGAACTTGTCAGTATACATAACATGTCTCTGTACTTTGAGCGTATGATGTTGAGGGTGAAACAGTTTGTGAAGTTTCCAGAAAGGACAAACTTACCAAAATTAAACAACATAACATGTCTCTGTACTTTGAGCCTATGAGCCAAAAATAAACAATGTCCTTTTTACACATACAACTCGTGTCAGACCTATAAGACACAGTCACTCCTTGTATAGCTGAAACGGGAGGTAAATATGGAGAAGACACAAAATTGCTGTACGAACTGACAGGTGATTCTCTTAGGCCAAAAAATGTTTATGTGTCAGGTTACATGACTGAAACAAATAGGGTAGTTTGATCAGGATTTATCTTTATTTTATATTTTTTAAATTTAAATTTTTATATTTTTTGAAGGGTGGACTTGGGGGCTGATTTAAGAAATTACAAAAATTATCAAACATAATTTAAGGTCTTAAATAGTAAAAACAATTCCACAGGAGTGCAGGATGTGTGGCCTGCTCAGGCAGCTGTAATGAGATCATGAAGACAGGATCTATTTATATTAACAGCGACTTCGATAAACCCAAGGGATGTGGGCGTTGACAAAGTAATACCTACATGTATATGTCACCGTGCATTGCCTGCAATTGATTCCACGTAATGTGGAAAAAGTCGTTCAGCACTTTTAGTGAGAAAATTGTTTTGGTTTGAACACCAGCAATTCCATGGAATAACAGTCAGTTTGAAGTTTTGAGGTTGATAGGCCCAAGGAAACTGAACTTCTCACATGGAAACAGTTTTTCTATTTATAGTAAAAGTGACCTTGACCTTCGGATCTGAAAAGCAATCTCAAGCAAGCACAATTAGTAAGAAAGCAATGTATGAAGTCTGAGCTCAATTAACCTAAATAAACTCAAGTTATCTCACGGAAACCTTGTTCCTGACGAGGCAACCGACGACGACGATGACGACGACGACTACACCGACAAAGTAATACCTATATGTTACCTTGCGTTGCAGGCGACACGAAAATTGGGTTTAAATTTGGTTTTGATACCTGCCCATAAAGTAGAGAGGATATATATATAGTTGCCTTGTTTGTCCATTAGAGAGGGTACACCTACCTAGGAATCCCTCATTACATGTACATGTTGTACCATTACTACATAGACCCTCTCGGTGACAGTTCTCCGGACAGGGGGGGCCAATGTACACGTCATTGAGGGCAAAGCTGTGGGCGTACCCTCCGGGCTGCCACCAGCGGAAAAGGACTGGACTGTAATAAAAAGGATTAAAGCAAACAAATACTTCAAGACTTAATTGATTGAACAGGTTCATTTTTAAATATTCTCTAACATGTATATAATGGAACAGGTAAGATAAATATGACATCTTCAGTATTTTCCAATGTTTATATTCTATCTCACTAAATTCTGTTTCTCAATTTTTTACTTCCCCTTTGTAGTGATTTTGCTCGGAACTGAAACACTTACTGCATGGCGACTGCCTGTGAGATGGGTATGATCATGGTCTGCCAGTAACCATGGGGACCGGAGAAGTATAGGGTACCCTCTGTGTGCTCACTACAGTCCATCTCCTGGTAGCATGGCTCGATGAGTAAGCGCCAGGTCTGGCCACCGTCATGGCTGTACTGTAATAGTACTGGGTGGTCCAGACGGAACAAGTTACTACAACCAACATTGAGCTGGAAACAAGAATTAGCAATAGAATGTTTTAAAGTATTCAAAATCATCACATACTATCTTACCTCTGCTTGTTCAGCATTTTAGTTTCACAGCAAAAAGCTTTTTTTCTTTTCAACAAAGGAACTCACAAAGAATTACATTAGTATTATATATTCTCTTGCATTTTAAATCATCAAATGTTGGTATGTGCTAAATCTCTTAAATTGTGTTTTTGTCAGTTGGAAATAAAATCAGATATAAATGGACCATTTTGCACTACAGTATAGGACTTCTAATTGTTTGTTCTATTTATACTTTTAATGTAACAACAAGTTTTGACAATTAATACATATCAAACTGGTAAGCTAGATTTGTATTGATATCATGTACATTTTTATCATATCTGTTAATAAACATACAGTCAAGTGTGACTACTGTATAAAGTAATTTCAGGTAAAGTATCAGGCAATAATTAATAACTCACCCTAAACTGTATAACATCTCCAGTTTGAAGGTCAAGGTCTTTCGTGATGGCAAATTTATCGTTCTCCTGATTGGCTAGAATGAGGGCAGGGTCCCGTGCCTGACAGTACTTGCCCAACACACCTTCCGTCACAGTTGACCACACCTGGGAGTCCAGAACATCCAGGTGGTCCTAACCAATCAAAACACATCTTACAAGTCATATAAAAGGTTCACAGGACCTGTACTCACTCCTTGATCTTTAACAAGAAGTTTATATTTAAGAATCCCTGTACCACTGCACTGTCGTTGATCCTATATACAGAAACCTCCCCTTAACTGGGCTTGTACACTTCTGTTGTCCAGGTAGCTCAATTAGTTTCAGCGATGGTATAACAATCCGAAGTTAAAGATTTGAATCCAGGTTTGACCCCACAGAATATTAACACACAGAACACGTTTGTCGATTATATATTTTTTTAATTTCATCTTCATTATGTTTTCATTAAAGTCTTTACCGACATCTGATTTTACTGATTTCTGACTTTACCGACACCTTATTTTACTGACATCTGACTTTACCGACACCTTATTTTACTGACATCTGACTTTAGTGACACTTACTTTTACTAACACCAGACTTTACAGACCCCTTGAAACGACACCTGACCAATTGCTGATTCAGTATTATCAAATAGTTAAAATGGATTTTTTTTTATGCAAAATACTCACATTGAAGTTGTCCTCCATCTTTGTCTTGTGGTCATAGCTGCCTAGCATGATCTCATCGATAGCCCACTGGTCCTGGCCACCTCCCGAGTGAGAGCCCTGCCACCAACGGAATTGAGTATTCGGTGACCTTGCCTTTGGTGGCAGCACCGTATGTACAAACCTGTCGAAACATATTACCATGTTATAGTATGTGCTATGGGTTAACAAAACAATGAATATGCAGTTGATCTGATAAAATGTAAATGTTCGATATCAGTTATAATTATTGAAAATCTAAAACTGTTTCATAAAAACTAGCCTCAAAGAAGTACAAGAATTCCACGGAAATGGATGTGTTGCCTGCTTCCACTGGTGGCATGGTGGATTTCCAGGTTCTGCTCAAAATCAAATGTGAATGAATAATTGGTATTTTAGGCATGTGAAGTAAGTTTCAAGAAACCAAATCATCATTTCAAGTGTTTAAGAAGGAAACCGTGCAACCATCACAAAAGCCAAGATGGCTGCTGTTGGCCATGTTGATTTTCAGGTTTGGTTCAAAATCCATTAAAATCTAAGTCTTCCTTTAAGTATGTGGAAACAATTTGTGCAGAGAACATCGACAGAGTGATCCCTAAATATCACTTTGCTTTGCTTGGCAGAAATAGAATTTACTGGTGAAGGGCTAATCTTAACCAAGCAAAAAATTACGGAATTACAGTAACTGTAATGAAGCAGAATATACTGTGTAACTACAGAGATATTACGTACTTGGGTTTCCTGTACTCGGCTGGTACTAGTTCCATGAGCTGCTCCCAGGTGGTGCCCCCATCTGTGGAGAACTGGAGGATGACCCCTTCCTGACGTGTCTCTGACCCTGAACAATCTGGTAGGCCTCCTCCGATTCTTAGGTAGAACTGGAGGTAGTCACTCTCCCTCGTATCAAAGTCCTTTGTCCGCAGCTCTCTCACTCCATTCTGTTAAAGGAAAATTACCCTGAGATGAGTAAATGATCTCCTAAAAGAATTTCAAACTTAATCCAAGTTTTGAAACTACATGTATTTAAGCATTAAACTGCCTTCTTTGGAAAGGTTTTGTCCTATAATTCTCACAGGATTGCAGACAAATTGAATAATGCGTGCTAGCGTGTTATGATTAATAGATGTTTGTCTACATACATTGTTACATTGTAGTTCCGATTTGCAAATGTTTTCTTTGAATTAACATTAGCTCTTGAAGATTTTAATATTTACATAAGTAAGACATTTTAAAAAATCACAAATTTTGATCCTTATATGAAATTAACAATGTTATTAACAGAAAATTAAGATTTCAAGTGAAAGCACAGAAATATGAAAATTTCAAGACAATATTTTTCCAAATTAAACTAAAACACAACTTACCCCTGAGAAATAAAGGGACTCCCCAGACAAAAGAGTTCCGCATCCTTTTCTGCCATTGATCACCTCTCCTCCGAGGATACTCAAAAAATCACTGTCCGGCTCGTATCTTATCCCAAAGTCTGCCTGCATGGAGGATTGCCAGCCCTCCTCTGTATGACAGTTTTCCCCAACAAAACCTTCCTCACATCTGAATTACAAAGTTGTTCCCATCAGTAAAATCAAATCTTCAAAGGATTACAGGGACAATTTAGTATATAAAAGTCTGATCTGTCTCCTAAAACACTTTTCTATAAGTGGTACAAAAGGATCTATGACAGATGTATTAAAGAAACTTGACATTAAATGTTTGTGGTCTCGATGGATGAATCATGAAATTTAAGATAAAATACCAATCATGAGAAACACAATATTCCTCAATACATGATATACTCTACATAGACTAAGGCTTGAAGGAAATACAAACTCCCTATTTTGGAGGGAGACCCGACCTCCTGATTTTGAACCCTGAAACTGAGCCTTTTTAACCAGTGAACTTGTTAAACTAATTTCTATTTTCTAAGATCTGATGATTTCATGTTAAAGAATGGCTAAAAAATGCATTTTAAAGTGCTATTTTGTTCCTTGGGGTATACACACACTTTAAGCACACATTATCTCCAACATGGAAATTTCAAAATGATGGCAAGTAATATGTCTCGGTGTGTCTTGTTTATTCCCTTTCTTCTATATCTGCTAGACACTGAGAATTCCACTCTATGCTAGTACAGTGTATATGTAAATTCTGTCTGTATGCAATTTTGTAAGAATTAAACCTGTATGTGAAATGATGAGCATCAAGTCAGTGTGTCAATATTCTGTCTGTATGTAGATGTACCATATATTCACTGTAATTAATGACCCTCCCCAGTTTTGGCACTTACTGAAATAAAAGAAGTGCCCCTTTTCCCCAAACCCTCCATTCTGACCCTGTCCTGTTAACAAAACCTAGTACTATATTCGCTGCAAATCAGATACTACGGTTTTACAATCTGACGGGACTGTTTCTGAGTGTTTTAAAAAGAAAACAAGAGCAGTTTAGAAATTCTCCCTGGGAGCGTGTCCGAATAATCTATGTTTTCTTATCTTAATAAGCAACCCCTTTCAGCCAATTTGTGAAGAACTCTGGGGGCTTATTCCAGGGACTACTGTATGTAGAATCTGCTTATATGTAAATCATACTTGTATGTATATATTATGAGTGAATATGCCTGTATGTCTGTGTATGAATATTCTGTCTGTATGTAGATGTTTACCTACAGACTCCATCCGAACACTGACCATGTCCACTACACATGGCCGGACACTGCTGACCAATATAGAGTCTGGACACTCCCCAGGAATCTGTCGGGCTCCAGTCGGGCTGGCGGAGACGGAACTTGGTCACAGGGCCCCTGAAACAATCACAAGCACAAAATATAATAAGCACTCTTATGATACATAACAAATTATTAATCAAAGAATACATTTTACTTGCCATGTTTTTATACTATCATAAAAATGACTACTGATTTTCACATCAACTATAAATTAAGGATCCCTGTCCCATTGCCAGCAAATATTTAGAGAATTCCACTGGTTTTTTTTGTACACACAGTAATCTCCCCTTAATTTCATTATGATATATAACTGTAGCGCAGTTGAGCCAGGTCTTTTCTGTTGACTAGGTAGGCCATTAGGTTAAAGTGACATTACAATGACCTGAACTGTGGACTAGGTAGGCCATTAGGTTAGAGTGACATTACAATGACCTGAACTGTTGACTAGGTAGGTCAGTAGGTTAAAGTGACATTACAATGACCTGAACTGTGGACTAGGTAGGTCAGCAGGCTAGAGTGACATTACAATGACCTGAACTGTGGACTAGGTTGGTCATTAGGCTAGAGTGACATTACAATGACCTGAACTGTGGACTAGGTAGGTCATTAGGCTAGAGTAACATTACAATGACCTGAACTGTTGACTAGGTTGGTCAGTAGGCTAGAGTGACATAACAATGACCTGAACTGTTGACTAGGTTGGTCGGTAGGCTAGAGCGACATTACAATGACCTGAACTGTTGACTAGGTAGGTCAGTAGGCTAGAGTGACATTACAATGTCCTGAACTGTTGACTAGGTTGGTCAGTAGGCTAGAGTTACATTACAATGACCTGAACTGTTGACTAGGTAGGTCAGTAGGTTAAAGTGACATTACAATGACCTGAACTGTGGACTAGGTTGGTCATTAGGCTAGAGGGACATTACAATGACCTGAACTGTGGACTAGGTAGGTCAGTAGGCTAGAGTGACATAACAATGACCTGAACTGTTGACTAGGTTGGTCATTAGGCTAGAGTGACATTACAATGACCTGAACTGTGGACTAGGTAGGTCACTAGGCTAGAGCGACATGAAAATGACCTGAACTGTTGACTAGGTAGGTCAGTAGGCTAGAGCGACATTACAATGACCTGAAGTCAAGGGTTTGAATCTGGGTTTTGTTTATTTCATCATCATCAATTTTTCATGAAATTCCCGTAGGAAAAAAACAGTTTCCAATGCACATTAACAGTTTGTATATATAAGGATCCTTAAACCAGACTAGCTATTTGAAGAGATATTACATCTTACTCAAGAACAGTGACTACATGGTGACTACCTCGAGGCTGTTCCACGTAACCCGGACCAGGTATTTACCTACACGAGAATACTTACATGGTGACTACCTCAAGTCTGTTCCACGTAACCCGGACCAGGTATTTCCCTACACGATAATACTTACATGGTGACTACCTCGAGGCGGTTCCATGTAACCTGGCCCATGTATTTACCTACACGAGAATACTTACAGGGTGACTACCTCGAGGCTGTTCCACTTAACCTGGACCAGGTATTTACCTACGCGAGAATACTTACATGGTGACTACCTCCAGTCTGTTCCACGTAACCCGGACCAGGTATTTCCCTACACGATAATACTTACATGGTGACTACCTCGAGGCGGTTCCATGTAACCTGGCCCATGTATTTACCTACACGAGAATACTTACATGGTCACTACCTCGAGGCTGTTCCACGTAACCTGGACCAGGCATTTACCTACACGAGAATACTTACAGGGTGACTACCTCGAGGCTGTTCCACGTAGCCCGGACCAGGTATTTACCTACACGATAATACTTACATGGTGACTACCTCGAGTAGGCTAAAGTGACATTACAATGACCTGAACTGTGGACTAGGTAGGTCAGTAGGCTAAAGTGACATTACAATGACCTGAACTGTTGACTAGGTTGGGCAGTAGGCTAGAGTGACATTACAATGACCTGAACTGTTGACTAGGTAAGTCAGTAGGCTAGAGTGACATTATAATGACCTGAACTGTGGACTAGGTAGGTCAGTAGGCTAAAGTGACATTACAATGACCTGAACTGTTGACTAGGTAGGTCAGTAGGCTAGAGTGACATTACAATGACCTGAACTGTTGACTAGGTTGGTCAGTAGGCTATAGCGACATTACAATGACCTGAACTGTTGCCTAGGTAGGTCATTAGGCTAGAGTGACATTACAATGACCTGAACTGTTGACTAGG